ACTGTTGGAGGAGCCTGTGACCTAAGGGGGGGGGGGGGGGGGGGGGGGGGGGTAGGACACGTTCGATTCCTGTTTTGAATAGTGTGCCGTCGATGGGTTTCATTCCATTTCAAACTGCTGTTTGACGTTCGGTGTAAACTTTGCGCACTGCCACTCCAACATCCAATCACAGAGCTTGAAGACTAATCACAGGGTTTGTCAAGCAAAGCACATGGTGTAGTCCCAAACGATAGCTGAGGATTCTGGGTAGTGTAGTGTCTTCTGCCATCCTAAACTCCAAAAAAATATTTGTTTCTCCGAATCGAAGGGGAAAAATACAAAAGCATTGCACACAATTTAAACCAATCAATGTTGTGTAATTAACAAGGATAATCTGGTGTTTTTGAGTTGATGAGTAGTGCAGATATAACTGTAAAATCAATCGAGAGTAAGGAGAATACTTACTTCCGGGTGTAAAACCCTCCGTTATCCAATGGGAATGGACGCTCACATTGCCTTTGAGACTGTGTTGAAATTACACCCTCGCCTACTGATTTTAATTAAACCATATATCGAGCCCGATCGTCGATTTCAAATGTGTGCTCTAAAATGATATTTATAAATGACTATTATCATTATTATAAGCAAGACAATAAATGGCAAAGATATGTAGAAAATAACCGTATTCAACCTCTTAAGCACGGCGGTCCCCCCATTGGACCCCTCCCACCGTTTTTTTTTCGAGATAATGTCTCAGGGCTTCTTAACATTTATGAAACTATTAATGTGTAGCACCAGATTAACGGGAAGAATCTCAGCTAACTGAAGATATGAACCATTTTTACCAAAAAAAAAAACACAAGTCTCATAAGAAGCGTCTAAATGACCCCTGAGCGAAAAAATTCTAACGCACTGCGGCACACAATTCAAGATAAAAATACCCTTATTACTTATCGTAGCTGCACATACAATATAGCCGATTAAAGCTGAGACTCCACTGATTATTTAGGTATAGTATCATCACTGAGCGATCCGAACTTGCGACAGGGGAAGCAAACACAGACATCACAACACGTACCTTTACGGAGCTTTTATGGCAGATCGTCTCACCATAGCTGTCAATTAGGTCAAAAGACGTGTTCAATGGCATTAAAACGAAAACAAAAAAATGCTACAACTGTTGATCCATAGGTTGATAATGTACCTGTGCCTTTGAAGAAATTATTTATAATCCATAATTCCATTTTTTATGTAAAAATCGGAGCGGAAAAGTTAGCTTCCGGTTTTGGTAACGCGTCACTCTCACTCCTTATTTGTTAACGTTTTGGTGTGTATATAACTTTCCCTCGATTCCATTGGCTCTAGCGGTTATAAAGAGATTTCATTCATCAAAATCGAGCAAGGGGGGCCAGAGATAGGTCAAATCCTATTTTGTACATATTTTTTTTACTTTTGCCGTTTTACTTTTAACATGGTTCGCAACATGCTAGCCGACCGAACCTACTCTGCCATACAATATAGCAGAGAGGAACTTCTCCAATTGCGAAACTTCGTGGACAATAATAACCCTCCGACAAACAATGGAGATTCACCATGGCTACCTGTTGCTGTTCTACCTGAGAGACGCAAGAAGAAGACAAAGCGAGGGTGCCGGGCCGGGTTGCTGGTCAGACTGAGAAAACGAGAGAATCGACCCCCTCTTCCGAGTATTCTTCTGGCTAATGTTCAATCCATTGAAAATAAGCTAGATGAACTCAGAAGCCGGATTGCTTTTCAACGGGACATTAAGAACTGTAACGTGTTAATTCTCACTGAGACTTGGCTCAACCTCGCTATCCCGGACTCCGCCATTGTCCCTGATGGATTCTCTATTTTTCGTCAGGACCGGACTGCAAACTCGGGGAAAAGTAAGGGAGGCGGTGTGTGTGTAACGACTAACAACAACTGGTGCTCAGATGTGAAGATTATTTCATCGGACTGTTCCGCACATCTAGAGCACCTCATGATCTCATGTCGGGCCTTCCATCTGCCGAGGGAATTCACATCTGTTGTGATAACAGCAGTGTATATCCCGCCGCAGCCACTCGCCGACAACAACACGGCACTCGATCAGCTGTTTGGGATTATTGATAAAACCGAGACTTCACGGCCAGATGCGGCGTTCGTTGTGGCCGGAGATTTCAACACCGCCAACATGAAGAAGGTTTTGCCAAAATATTACCAACACATCAGCTTCCCGACGCGCGGGGATAACATACTGGACCATGTTTATTCCCCTTTCCGGAATGGATATAAGGCTCTCCCTCGCCCTCCCTTCGGCAAATCAGACCATATCTCACTACTGTTGTTGCCTGCTTACAAGCAGAAACTTAAAAGGGACAGACCGATTACAAGAACAGTACAACGATGGAGCGAGGAGTCAGATGAGGCACTGCAGGATTGCTTTGCATCCACGGATTGGAGTGTGTTTGAGGACAATAACATCAACACACACACGGACACTGTCATCTGCTACATTGGGAAATGCATCGATGACGTGGTACCGAAGGTTTCTGTACGGACATTCCCAAATCAAAAGCCATGGATAAACTCCGATGTGCGCTGCAAGCTGAAAGCGCGCACTATCACGCACACAGCGGGAGATTTGGAGGAGTACAGGAAGTCTAGGTATGATCTCCGGAGAGCAATTAAAAATGCAAAGAGACAGTACAAAGAGAAGGTGGAATCTGACTTCAAAGGCTGTAACACTAGGAATATGTGGGCGGGACTAAGGACAATGATTGACTACAAAGGAGCAGCGGGGGGTGCTGCGGGAGTGTCTGTGTGCGCATCTCTCCCAGATGAGCTGAACAGTTTTTTTGCACGCTTTGAGAGCAGCCGGGCTGTGGAGGTACAGAGGGACCAGGAGCTACACTGGCCTTTTGTTTTAAATAGGGCAGATGTGTGTAAATCCTTTAAAAGGGTTAACCCACACAAGGCTCCTGGACCTGATGGCATCCCTGGCCGTGTTCTCAGGGTGTGTGCAGTTCAGCTGGCAGAGGTGTTCACAGACATCTTCAACAGGTCCCTGCTGCAGTCTGTAGTCCCCACATGTCTTAAACACTCCACCATCGTTCCTGTCCCCAAAAAGACAATCATCACCTGCCCCAACGACTACCGCCCAGTAGCACTCACCTCCACCATAATGAAGTGCTTTGAGCGGTTAGTCAAATCATTCATCACCTCCTCCCTGCCTGACTCTCTGGACCCCCTGCAGTTTGCCTACAGAGCAAACAGGTCCACTGACGACGCCATAGCCCTCACCCTCCACACTGCCCTCTCACACCTGGACCCGAAGAACAGGAACACATATGTGAGAATGCTGTTCATTGACTACAGTTCAGCATTCAATACCATTGTGCCCTCCAAGCTGGCCATCAAGCTCAGAGATCTCGGGCTCAACAGCGCCCTCTGTGACTGGATCCTGAACTTCCTGACGGGCAGACCCCAGGCAGTGCGGGTGGGAAACATCACATGCTCCACCCTGATCCTCAACACCGGAGCCCCTCAAGGCTGCGTGCTCAGCCCTCTCCTCTACTCCCTGTTCACCCACGACTGCGTGGCCACACACAGCTCCAACACCATCGTGAAGTTTGCTGATGACACGACCGTCATCGGCCAGATCACAGACGATGACGAGACGGCGTACAGAGAGGAGGTCGAAAACCTGACATCTTGGTGCCAGGATAACAACCTCCATCTCAACATCAGCAAAACAAAGGAGCTGATTGTGGATTACAGGAAGCAGCAGGGAGAGGGACACGCCCCCATCGCCATCAATGGGACTACGGTGGAGAGAGTCAAAAGCTTCAGGTTCCTTGGGGTCCACATCACTGAGGACCTGACATGGTCTCTTCACACCACCACCATCACCAAGAAAGCTCGACAGCGGCTCTTCTTCCTCTGCAGGTTGAGGAGGTTCAAAATGGATTCCAGGATACTCTGCAACTTCTACAGGTGCACGATAGAGAGTATCCTGACTGGCAGCATGACGGCCTGGTACGGCAGCTGCACCGACCTCGATCGTAAGGCTTTACAGAGGGGGGTGAAAACTGCACAGCACATCACCAGGACGGAGCTGCCATCCATGGAGGACCTTTACTCCCAGCGGCTCAGGAAGAAATCACTACGGATTATCAAAGACCCCCATCACCCCAGCCACAAACTGTTCTTTCTGTTGCCGTCTGGCAGACGTTACCGCAGCATCCTGGCAAGGACAAGAAGATTCGGAGACAGTTTCTTCCCGCGGGCAGTGAGACTGTTAAAAAATTGAACTGTTGAAACAACATCAAACATTCATCTGCTACTCAGTAGTATGTATCTAATACCTAATATATATATATCATTCCAATAACTTGTATATAGACTCGTACTGCACTATTCCACATCATAACTGTATTTCATTTTATCACTATTATTATTTTTGTATTGCTCATGCTCTTATTGTTATTATGTTGTTATTATGTTGCATTGTTGGAGAAGCCTGTGACATAAGATTTTCAACTACATAATTACTCTGTAGCTATGTCAGATTGACAATAAAGAACCTTGAACCTTGAACCTTGAATCCACCCAAATGACCCCAGAAGTGGGGGTTTTTGGCTAAATCTCTCTAAAAAGGTCAAATTTCACTTGTTTTGCATCAATCTTGATACAGGGTACTTATTATATGTTGTACTTTGGATTCCTAAAGCTTTTAGTCTACTAACCCATCATCCAAGGGTATTTTTCACTATAAGTAAAAAAGAATTTTTGGACGGACACTATAATTTACAGTTTTTTACTATGTAAAATCTGAATTTTCTTTAAAATAAAAAACATCTATATTGATTCTGACTTTTCTACATCCAACTCACAGGTTTATCATTACTTTGAGAATAAAGATTATTAATTTAACCCTTTTAGAATTTTTAGGAGACAGGGTTGTATCTGGAGTGCTACATCTGTACACCATGATGAGCTCTCTCTCTATATATTTTCAGATATGGCGTGGGCTCCTTCTCCTTCGCGTCCATGATCAGTGGGGTCACTGCACGGTTCTCTACTCCCGCTGAACTACAACAGGTAAGCACTCTTTAATAATTCCTACTTCAATGCAGGAAGACATCTTATGGGAACTTTGCTTCTTTTGAATATGTGGCCCTTCAGCTGAAATGCTCCTCTCGAGCTCTGTTCCTAAATATCTATAGATCACCCAAATACTGTGCAGATGACTTTACTGAACTGCTGTCTATAGTGTGTATTGACTTTGACCGTCTAGTCCAGGGGTGGGGAACCTTTATGCTCTCAAGGGCCATTTAAATTTTTACAACATCCTCCGAGGGCCGTACAAATTATTGAACTCAACCTCTGCTTAAAAAAACTAAAATCACAGCCCATTCATTTCGCCTTTCTTTCATGCTGTGCAAAGAAAAAGCAACCTCTTAATCCAGATATCTTACCATGACTCGCGCATGCATTCACGTGCACGGTTGTGGCTGACCACCAAAACAGAAAGATATGGACACAAGATGTGTGCACATTTAGAATCCTATCCATGGTTTAAGTCGGGGGGGGGGACCTAACCTCCTCTAGGGGGGTCCGGGGGCATGCTCCCCCGGGAAGATTTATTTTTTAAAGGAGAGGTGTCATGCTTTTCCGGTTATTACCCGTCCCCTTGTGTGTTATGAAGGTTTTTATGCATGTAAACGGTGTGCAGAGTCAAAACCCTCAAAGTACACCCTGTAGCGAGTAAAACTCTAACACAGAAAATACCTCCCCAAAACGCCTCGTTGGAGATACGTCACTGCCCATTTGAGTCTTCCATTTCGTTCCGGGTACGGCATGATGTCAAGCGGTACCCGGAACGAAATGGACCAATCCCGAAGAGCCGTTACGTTACGTCCGCGGAGCCGTTACGTTAAGCCCCCGCTGATTGGTCCAAATTGACCGATCCACAGACTTCCTCACACACACATCTGTGTGCAGGGAGCAGGCAGCTCAGCTGATTTCTCCTCCCTGGCTGCAGGCTGATAACAGACAGTTGGGATCGCGGCAAAATTCTCTCTGCAGACCCATTCTCACAGCGTTTATCAACCTTTTTCTTACTCAATATCAAGCCACACTTATTGTTTTTACTTCGGATGTGAGTTTGTGTGTGCTCAGGATGAATTTGGCTGTGTTTCGCTATGTATCCTAAACAAGGAAACAACACCTCCACGGAGCTCAGCGCGATTCACAACGTCCCGACCAATCAGAGCACACTGTGCTCACAGGGACGGTGGGGGCTGGAGCTTTTGGAGCTACAACGAGCCGTTAAAGGCAGAGAGTGAAATTCAGTGAATACAAGTAGTTTACAGAGATGCTGTATGAGAAACCAATGTGAGTTTGGAAAAATGCACAGTATAAATCTATTCTAGTAGACCTCAACAATGGAATTATGATCAGTGGAAATGGCCATGACACCTCTCCTTTAAATGTTGAAGTTAAAACCATCAATCTGGTGCACTTTGGGAGCAAAATTAAGAGATCTATGGAAACATCTCTCAACACCCATATGAAACAGAACTGTAAGCAGATTTTCTTTTTCTTTATGGATATTTTACAAATCACTCCCCTTTTAAACTGTATTCTTGTTTATTAATTTTAAAGTGCTCCGTCAGCACTACACCCCTGTCAGACGAGACATATACCACGTGATGACATGATAGGCTCGTGTTGTGTTCAAGGACCCTGATCTTAGCCAGGAAAAACAGGCACTCGCTTGTTTAATTATTTTGCGGTCTAGATTTCTTTAACCAGTTGAGCCCCATGCCCCCGGTACCCCCCCAAATGCGGTGCACCTACAGCGTAAGCGCGCCACAGTTTCGCCGCTGCGAAGCTCCACTAGCACCTCCCCCCCCCCCCCCCCCAGCGCGTCACAGTTTCACCGCTGAGAGATTGGTCCCTTTGGACTAATGGGTCCATTTGGGTATGGGCACGTCACTATACCCAGGAAGAAATAAAATGGAAAAAGAAAAATCTCCAACGAGGCGTTCTGGGACAGCATGGACAGGTATTTTCTGTGTTAGAGTTTTACTCGCTACAGGGTGTACTTTGAGGGTTTGTGACTGCAGACCGTTTACATGCATAGAAAACCTTCATAACACACAAGGGGACGGGTAATAACCGGAAAAGCATGACATGGGACCTTTAACAGATTTTACGAGACACAACAGTCTGCTGCCGTCTGGCAGGCGGTACCGCAGCATCAGAACTAAAACCACCAGACTCAGGGACAGTTTCATCCCACAGGCCAGAAGACTATTAAACACCTGAACTTTTGAAACAACATCCATAACATTCATCTGGCTGCTACTTACAAATTATTTATCTAATATATCATATTCCAATCACTTGTATATAGACTCTTATTGCACTATTTCAAGTTTTTACTATTTTTGTTTTTGTATTTACTTGCACTATTTTTTCTGTTTTATTCTGTTGCACTGTTGGAGGAGCCTGTGACCTAAGATACCGAAGAACCGAAAATACTAGGGAAATGTTTACTCTTCCACACTTGCCCCTGCTAACATCTCAGTAAATGAGCTAGTAGATCATTTTAATTCAAAAATAAAAAATGTTATAGATGCCATTGCTCCAACTAAGGTAAAGGAAGTGACTGGCAAAAAATATCTCCATGGAGAAAGGCCATGACCGTGAAAACAGAAAAAAAAGAGTGTCGAAAAGCTGAACGCAGGTGGCGAAAAACAAATCTCCATAATAGAGACTTGGCTTTTATAATTTGGAATTGAAAAATGCATGAAAGTCTTTCTTCTCTGACATCATTGCCAAAAACAAAAACAACGCTCGTGCCTTGTTTGCTACCGTCGACAGACTAACTAACCCCCCAGTGTCAGTAGCCTCTGAACTTCTATCCACCAGGGCGTGCAATGAATTTACCTCCTTCTTCACTGACAAAATTCAGAAAATCAGACAAGCAGTCAGTGCCTCTGCATCAGGTACAGCAAATGTGTTGTCCCTGTGTCCACTTAAAATCAATTCAAACACCATGACACAATTCCATCAGATTAATGATAAAAACCTAGAGGACATTATTCAACATCTGAAATCCTCCTCCTGCTGCCTTGATATTATTCCAACAGGATTTTTCAAAAATGTTTTTCATTGCTTGGCCTCAGATCTCCTACATATAATAAACAAGTCTCTCCATTCAGGTGTTTTTCCACAGGCCCTGAAAACTGCAGTCATTAAACCGCTCTTAAAAAAGAATAATCTAAATGTTTCAGTAATGAACAACTACAGGCCCATATCAAACCTGCCATTTCTAGGTAAAATCATTGAAAAAGTAGTTTTTCAACAGTTGAGTAATTTCTTGCATTTAAATAACTGTTTCGATGTGTTCTAGTCAGGCTTTCGTCCAAACCACAGCACTGAGACTGCTCTTGTTAAGGTCTTCAATGACATCCACTTAAACACAGACAGTGGCAGAACTTCAGTGTTAGTATTATTAGATCTCAGTGCTGCGTTTGACACTGTTGACCACAACATATTACTAGACCGACTGGAAAACTGGGTGGGACTTTCGGCAACAGTTCTAAATTGGTTTGAATCCTACTTAAAGGACAGAAACAACTTTGTTTCTATAGGTAAATACACATCTGAGTTGACAAATATGACATATGGGGTTCCTCAAGGCTCCACCCTGGGGCCTCTTCTCTTTAACATCTGCATGCTACCACTGGCTCAGATAATGAAAAACAACAAAATAAGTTACCATAGCTATGCGGATGACACACACATTTACATAACCATTTCACCAGGAGACTATTCTCCATTTCAAGCACTGAGTAAGTGCATTGAACAAATCAATGACTGGATGTGTCAGAACTTTCTCCAATTAAACAAAGATAAAACTGAGGTAATTGTTTTTGGAGCCAAGGCAGAACGTATAAAAGTTAGCGCTGAGCTTCAGTCTGCAATGTTCAAAACAACAGATAAAGCCAGAAATCTAGGTGTAGTCATGGACTCTGACCTGAATTTCAACAGTCACATTAAAACAATTAATAAGTCAGCCTACTATCACCTTAAGAATATATCTAGGATTAAAAGACTAATGTCACAGCAGGATTTGGAAAAACTTGTCCATGCTTTTATCTTCAGTAGACTCGACTACTGTAATGGTGTCTTTACAGGTCTCACTAAAAAATCTATTAGAAAGCTGCAGCTGATTCAGAACGCTGCTGCTCGAGTCCTCACTGACACTAAGAAAGTGGATCACATCACTCCTGTTCTGAAGTCTTTACACTGGCTTCCTGTGTGTCAAAGAATTTATTTCAAAAATACTGCTGCTGGTTTATAAAGCATTGAATGGTTTAGGCCCAAAATACATTTCTGACCTACTGCTAAATTATGAACCATCCAGAACTCTCAGGTCATCAGGGACTGGTCAGCTTTCTGTCCCCAGAGTCAGAACTAAACATGGTAAAGCAGCATTCAGTTATTATGCTCCAAATATCTGGAACAAACTCCCAGAAACCTGCAGGTCCGCTGCAACTCTTACTACTTTTAAATCCAGGCTGAAGACTTTTCTTTTTGCCGCTGCTTTTAATTGAACTATTCATATCTTAAACTGCACTGTAACTTTTATCCATGTATTTTTTCTTTTAATGTTTCTTTTATTATCTTATCTTTATTATTATTATGATTGTTTTTAAATGCCATTTTCTTAATGTCTTTCATTTTTGTAAAGCACTTTGAATTGCCTTGTGTTGAAAGGTGCTATATAAATCAACTTGCCTTGCCTTGCCCTGCCTTGCCTCACTTGTTAACTTCTAAACGTTAAAGTGTTGAATGAACTGTTTCTGTTTCCTCTGCCAGCTGCTGCACTTCATTGAGGAGCACGGTGAGGACAGCTTTGGACCTGCCTCCCTGGCTGTGGACCAGGCCTTGGAGAGGACCAGGGCCAACATCAAGTGGGTCCAGCAGAACCAGCAGGAGGTCCTGGACTGGTTCAGAACTCACACTGTACATCACACATAGCCAGAGTAACAGCTGCTGCAGGGACTCCTCTCCCATATGAGGAGAGTTTTTATGTTATTGTCCTGGACAGAAAGACATATAGATGCGAAGGACATTTAACTACTGATTAAGGCTTTTGATGGAAAATAGTTTAGAATAATTATTTTGGAACTAATTGAAAACTCGTGTTTTTTTTTTAACCACTTTTGCGATGCTATGTTGAAATGTAGTCATTAAAATGTGATGGTAAGAATGGTTATAATGTGACTAAAACACGATTTAGCCCAGTTTTAACTGTAGACAGACATATGTTCACCTGCATATAACCAAAATATCTCCCGGAGTGCATTCTATATGTTTCCTTTCAACAACCATGATTGTTTTTGATTAAAATGCAATAAAATGTATCCCGATGTTAGTCCCCTACTGTGATAAATGCCAAATTAATGAAGCCTCTCTCATTCATATGTACTGGTCCTGTCCCCGCCTAAGCATGTACTGAACGGAGATTTTCCAAACTCTATCCCAAGTGTTCAGTATTGAACTGAATCCAAATCCTCTGGCTGCCCTATTTGGGGTAATAGGAAAGGAGGCGTTTAACTGCAGAACGGCGGCGATCTCTGTCTTTTGCTCTCCTCTTAGCTCGTCGAGCCATCCTGCTTAGATGGATAGACAGTTTCCCGCCCACTCATCTACAGTGGTTGACAGATGTTATGTCCTGTATGAAACTTGAAAAGATCAGATACTCACTTCTATACTCAAACAGCAAATTTCAGGAAGCCTGGGGACCTTTTATAAATGCATTCCAAACTCTGTAAATCATTCTGTTATTGGTTTAGCTTAAGTGCAGCATATGTATGTATGTATATATGTGCATGTATACAGCAAATGTGTATGTGTAGTTTGCATGTGTGTATATGCATGTGTGTATATGCATTTGTTTTACATGCATATATACTCATCCAACAATATGTCTGGCATATATTCGTGTGTATAAGGATCACTGGCAGTGATAGGGGATTACTTTAGTCGTTGTTATTGTTTGTCTGTGTTTTTCTTGTTTTGTTTTTTATTTTTCCTTTTGTACATACAATCAGCACAGACCAATCGCTCCTTTGCATTGGCATATATTATGTTAACCATTACTATATGACAAACACTGCTTATTGATTGTCGAAACAAAATAAAAAGATTTTTGATTTGAAAATGCAATAAATTACGGATTGAAATATATTTGTTGTAATATTATAGTATATTATATCTAGAAAATATGTCACAGCAATTTGGGTAAGAACTTTTAAGCTTATTTATTTAGCTTTAACTTAATTTTGTAACTAACTGTAACATTATACTCTCTAAAGTACAATACTGAGAACTTGAAACGTGGAGACATGGGAACAAAAAAGTCAAAAAATACATTTTGTGTGGCCACATTTATTTACCATTAAATAAAGTAAGGACTGAAGAGACAGTTTATTAGAGTCTGTAAGTAGAAGTCATAATAGGGAGCCCTTAGGGGACATGGACAGAACACTTTAACTTTCATTATTAATAATAATAATAATAGATTACATTTGTATTATGCTCACGAGAAAGTTACCAATGTGCACAGGAAACACCAGGTCATTGCAGACTGCTTCTGTGTGGAAATGACAGTACAGACATTATTTGAGTTATATTTCAAACTCTGTCTTAATTTTAACCAGGGTGTAGAGCTATTTGTTTAAGCACCGGATCAATCAATCAAATTGTATTTATATAGCTCAATATCACCAATTACACTTGTCTCAGGGGGCTTTACAGTTTGTACAGCATACACACCATAAATTAACACTTTCTAGCATAAATCGGTAAGACAGGAGAGTCTGAAAACCAGCCTGCCTTGATCTATGAATTCATGTCCGTGACTCTCACAGTATCTGCTGCCCACAGCTGTTTTATAGAAGGAAAACCTCCTTCACTTCATGAAATGGCTGCAGCACCAGGAGGCAGCGTGACATGTAACTCAGCCTCTGAGAAGAGCAGCACCAGCTGCAAAGAGATGTGCCTTTTACGCACCGGCTTCACTGTGTTTACCTTCATAAGAACAGCTAAAGAGCGACCGCAGGCTGCTACGTTTTAACCCTCTACACACACACACACCTTATTACACATCAAACTGCCCGATTACTACGCCCAATTATTAGTTTTATGAAGATGTCCCGTCACCATGACACCATTTAAGTTCTGATTGTAAATTATTTTTCTTTTTAATAGCTTTTCTGTGCTTAGGTGATGCATGACTGATTATCCACCCTCTGCAGGTGGCCTTAAAGGTTTCCCACAGTTTGAATAGAGGACAAAGAGTCTACATTATGGATATATATTATTTTATTTTCAATAAGTGAGATGAATGTGTCATCTTCTATCAAAGAGTTGTTAAATCTCCATTGTTTAGGTCTGTTCTCATTAGCAACTAGGAAAAAAGTGATAGACCGAGGGGCGTGGTCTGATAGGACAATACTATGTATGTCCGCATCGATTACATTTTTAATAACAGAGTGGGATATTAAGAGGTAGTCGATTCTTGAATAGGATTTATGCACCTTAGAATAAAATGTATATTCACGAGAGAGAGGGTACAGTGTCCGCCACACATCAGCCATTGCCAGTGATTCTAACAGCTCATTGAAGGCACTTGATAGTGATCTGTCCATTGGAAGAGGATGGCCTGAGGAGCGTCCTCCCATCAAGATAGGGCTGTCAGTGTACTGGGACAAAATGGTGATGAGAGGGCACATAAAGGAAGCTTGTGCAGAGTTTGGGGCATAAATATTCACTAATGTGCATTTTTCATTCTGCAATTTACCTCGCAAAACCAGACATCGACCTTCCTTATCACTAACCAAATCAGTCAGTTCAAAAATATATTTTCTTAGATATCAGTATACTGACACTTCTCATGCCTCTGGGGCATGGGGAGGAGAACACTTGGCCAACCCATCTTTGCTTTAATTTTTTTGATTCTTCTAAGTTCAATTGGGTCTCCTGTAACTTGGCTATATCACTATCAAGGCCCTTTAGATGTGACAATATTTTGTATCTCTTGACAATGTTCTGAATTCCATTTACATTCCATGATGTTACCTTTATAGCATTAATCATATTACATTCTGTAAGAGATAAATAACACAGAGAGTAAGTCTATGAGTGGAGAAGGAGGGGGGAGACCAGTGTGTATGTGTGCCCGTTCGCATACGTCTGTGTGTGTGTGTGTGTGTGTGTGTGTGTGTGTGTGTGTGTGTGTGTGTGTGTGTGTGTGTGTGTGTGTGTGTGTGTGTGTGTGTGTGTGTGTGTATGAGAGGCCGTCTAGCTCACAACTCATACTTGGTCTTACAAACAATATCAGAATCTCACATGTACACCACCAGACTCTTTCACACACAGTATCATACCGTCTTTAACATACGTTCATTCCTTCCTTCATTTAATATCATACTATCATACATAAATAACTATTCTCTTTCACACACAAAAACAAAATCTCTTAAAGGGCCCATGTCATGGCCATTTCCACTGATCATAATTCCATTGTTGAGGTCTACTAGAATAGATTTATATTGTGCAATTTTCCAAACTCACATTGGTTTCTCATACAGCATCTCTGTAAACTACGTGTATTCACTGCATTTCACTCTCTGCCTTTAACGGCTCGTTGTAGCTCCAATAGCTCCAGCCCCCACCCTCCCTGTGAGCACAGTGTACTCTGATTGGTCGGGACGTTGTGAATCGCGCTGAGCTCCGTGGAGGTGTTGTTTCCTTGTTAGCGATACACAGCCAAACTCATCCTGAGCACACACAAAGTCACAGCCGAAGTAAAAACAATAAGTGTGGCTTGATATTGAGTAAGAAAAAGGTTGATAAACGCTGTGAGAATGGGTCTGCAGAGAGAATTTCGCCGCGATCCCAACTGTCTGTTATCAGCCTGCAGCCAGGGAGGAGAAATCAGCCGAGCTGCCTGCTCCCTGCACACAGATGTGTGTGTGAGGAAGTCCGTGGATTGGTCAATTTGGACCAATCAGCGGGGGCTTAACGTAACGGCTCCGCGGACGTAACGTAACGGCTCCACGGATTGGTCCATTTCGTTCCGGGGACGGCTTGACATCATGCCGTACCCGGAATGAAATGGAAGAATCAAATGGACAATGACGTATCTCCAACGAGGCGTTTTGGGGAGGTATTTTCTGTGTTAGAGTTTTACTCGCTACAGGGTGTACTTTGAGGGTTTGTGACTCTGCACACCGTTTACATGCATAAAAACCTTCATAACACACAAGGGGACGGGTAATAACCGGAAAAGCATGACATGGGCCCTTTAAACGCATGTTGAGATCTCCATATCAGGTTGAATTAAAACGAAAGTTAGTTATAATCAAATATAATCAATTATATTCTTGTATAACCCACAATTTCTATATTTACAGTATAAAGAAAACACAAGTGGTTTGTTAAATTGAGTGTGTAAAGCTTATAATGGTTTTGGGTGTCACTGATAAGAGAGGAGGCAGTTTCTTCCCTCTTCCCTCACAGCAGTACATGTCATAGCCGAGAATAATATTTTGCAAGTCCTGCACACTAGAGGTCATGAACCTTTTACACAAACATGGGAAGGTGTATCTTATGCCATAGCCATATAATATGTCTGGTCATATCCAGTCCTGTACATCAGAGGCCATGCCCAGTTTCCACAAATATGGGTATGGAGGAGGTGTCTTTAGGTTTTTCTATCCTGTTTTTGATTTAGAGAGAGAGAGAGAGAGAGAGAGATGAGAGAGAGAGAGAGAGAGAGAGAGAGAGGAGAGAGAGAGAGAGAGAGAGAGGTGAGAGAGAGAGAGAGAGAGAGAGGAGAGAGAGAGAGAGAGAGAGAGAGAGAGAGAGAGAGAGAGGGGACGGGGGTTCCCATGGTATACTCTCTCCCGGTAAAGCTCTCTCCCTGGAGAGCTGGGTTTTTGCTCTCGGTTCTCTCAAACTTGGTAAATATCTTTTGAATTTCTGGGTTGAATGAGTGGAATGAATTGATATGTGTTTGTGAGTATTAGTACCCGCCACCTGTGAGGATCTTCCTCCGAATTCTTGCGGAATATAGGTATGTGTACGCCCCCAGCCACTGGGATCCGCTGGGTTTTTGGTTGGAATCCGCCCACTGGAGTCCTATCTGGAGTGCTACATCTGTATGGGCATGTACATGGGGAATGTTGGTTAATGCTGAGGTTGCCAGTTGTAGGAATCAATTTAAGATTTTCTTCTTTTTTTGTAATGTAATTTCTGTTTAATTTATTAGTGATTTCCCGAGGATGTGAGGTTGCTGTCGACTGTAATTTGATTGGTGGTTTATATGTATAAATAGAAAAAGAGTTTGTAATATCACTTTTAATTCCAACAGACACACGGATAGTCAACAAACTCAGGGAAGTAGTGATCTGTTGCACACCCAAATTTGAATCATAGACATTGTAGTGAGGTAAGGTAACTCATTCCTTTGAGAAAGTTTAACTGTTTAATTTGTACAATAGACAACAGAATCATCGTATGTGAGTAGGATTAGGCAATACCTAGAAGAAATCTCTGACAGAACAAGACGTTTGTTGACAGCTTACAGTAGGACAAGCAAAATAAAATCTTGAAATGACCCACATTGCAAAACTATCTTTTAAGTGTAAGAAGTGGACAGGAACTTTAACCTCTGAGTTGTCCAACTTCAACAAACATTTGAAAGTTTATCACTCAGGCAGTCATTTGCTAAATTGACGAGGAGCCTTTAAAAAGTGTCACAGAAAACATTTGGCCAGAATCAACATCAGTCCCTATCATGCTTGGAACTACTGATGGACAAGAAGCAGAGGACAAGACAACCAATCAGATCATCTGATCTACAGAAAATACATTATTCTTCACTCACATATTCATTGTGTGGTCAGTAAAGCCAGTGTGTCTGAATGCATTCATTGCATTAGTAAATTATTACAGTCTTAAACAGAAGTAAACATGTTCTCTTAGTTTCCAGTTTAATGATGACCCTAGCGTACACATAGACCCCTCATCTATTATCACACCCTCTTAGCCTAGTTGCCAGCTCATAGAGTACTTTTGTGAACCCGGAAATGTTGAGTACCCCAAAGTTTTATGTTAGAAATGTATAGTAGGGTCCCCAGCACATAGAAACTGCCAGAGGCTAACTTGCATATGTTGGGCAATTTGCACAATCAGCATTAGTTGCATTAATTAGCATGAATTAGCATATGAAGGCAATAGTTCAAAAATGGCCTGGCCGATTTGGAACATTTTGGAGTTATTTTGGAGGGTATTTAGGATGCTGAGTCAATTTCTGAAATGTTTAGGATAAAAATGGCAGTTTTTAGTTGCCTAAAACTATAAAGTTGACCCAACATTCATCGAAATCAGTCCACACGGGGTATAAATATGGCCACTTTCTGGTTAAATCTGACAATGGTTCCAATATCCTCAAACAACATCAAAACCACACCAACATTGTACAAATCAGCCAAGCAATTTTGCTGTTCTCTGCATATGCTAATTCATGCGAATTAATACATTTTATGATAATTGCCCAAAATATGAAAGTTAGCATCCAGCAGTTTCTATGTGCTGGCGACCCGTACTATACATTTCTGACATAAAACGTTGGGGTACTCAACATTTCCAGTTTCACAAAAGGACTCTATGAGCTGGCAAACAGACTGTCTCTCCAGCCTGAACAAAATGAAACTGGTTGATATGAAAAAGATAGTTTGGCATTTTACATTGAATAGGTATAAGCTTTTTCCAGTCGGTGTTTTTTTCATATGCAGAGGGAATTCACATCCAATTCAAAAGCTTCCCAAATCGACTCAGCTTTGATCCAATCCACCAGATCTTCTGTGACCTCACTGCAGGATTTTATCTCGCGTGTCGGGGAGTCTGAGGGCCACCAGGCCCCCGCACACCAGTGCAGCGAAGGACAGCAGGATGGGCACGGCCCTGGTGACGCCCACAAAGCTGGGGAAGATGGAGCTGCCGAGCACTGCCGCCAGCTTACACAGAGCGTTCAGCAACCCGAAGGCTGTGGCCCTGAGAGGGGAGAGATACTGTGAGGTACTCTTCTGTTAAACCTTCCACTGAAACACAACTGCTCTCAACAACTGTATTACTGCATCTACATCCAGTGGTGGAAAGTACAGTTACTTTACTATATTCAGAGTATTTCTATTTTATGCTACTTTATACTTCTACTCCTCTACATTTAAAAGGGAAATCATATGATTTTACTGCATTACATTTATTTAAAAGTTTTAGCTATTTTAACAAAATCTAAAAATTAAACTGGTGGACTCTTTAAGTCACAAAAAAGAACAAATATTTAAATATTTGACAAAAAGTCAATCAGCACTTTGTTTGTCTACAACAGTAAAATGCTACTTGATGCAACCATTTTATCTAGACATTTTACATACTGTATATCACAATTATATACACACTAACAAGCCATTTTCTTCAGAATGAATACTTTTCATTTGTATACTTTAAGTACATTTAGCTGATAATACTTTTGTACTTTTACTGAAGTAGGATTTTGAATGCAGGACTTTTACTTGTAATGAAATATTTTGCCAATAATGTATTGGTACTTTTACTCAAGTAAAGCATATGAATACCTCTTCCACCTCTGACTTTACTTGAGTATTTCCATTCATTGTTACTTTATACTTCTACTTCACTACATTTCAGGGGCAAATATCATACTTTTTACTCCACCGCATGTATTTTTACATTCTCAGTTACTAGTTACTTTGTACATATAAAAACACATGCAGATATGGTATAATGCAGTATTGTACTGCTAATCTAGACAGTATTTCAAGTATCTAAATTGCTCCACATTGACAAATTACAATACTAACATTCTCTTATATGTATAATATAGGATAACATAATAAATATAATAGTATAAAACTGTGAAAAGATCCTTTCTGCAACAAGTACTTGAAGTACTTTACATGTGGCTGATACAGTAATGCTTCTTTACTTTATATTATTCTGAAATGGGACATTGTGCAGAATGAGTAGTTTTACTTTTTGTAAGGACATTTTAATTGGTACTTTTACAATCACATTTTTTAATCAGGAATTTCACTTGTAATGTACTTTACCACCATCGTATTTGTACTATTACCGAAGTGAAGGAGTACCTTTCCCAACACATCTGACATACACATTGTACACAACAACAGAGTGTGGTACCTCTTGGAAGTGGGGAACAGCTCCACGGTCACCACCTGGATGCCGTTCCATGCCGCGACACTGACGCCGCCAGAACAGGACACTGCAGGGCGATGATCGCTGATTGGCTGAAGCTCAGGAACAGCAGGAAGGTGCAGCCAGCTGAAATGAGCATGGAGCCACCTGAGGAGAACACACACACTCTGTATGAATCTTGACATGTAGAGTCTCAATGTAGGTTTTCTATTCTGTTCATTTTTCTGGAGTGATTGAAATAATAAGAAGAATTAAAGCAGCAACAACTACCAAAACTGAAAGGATAATGAAGCCCAACTCGAGATGACTAGTTGTGTCTGTAAACCTGACCAAATCCTCACAGCTGCTCTCTGTAACTCAACTTTAGTGTTCACCGATGATGAACACCTACAGAAATAACTCCACCAGGGAAGGCACAAACAGAGGACACTTTAGGAATGATGATAACTAACACTCATTATTTTACATTTACTCATCAATGTTGGAGTTGTGCTGTGAATTCATTCTTTTGATGTGTATGATTAACTTGAGTTTTTCCTACATTTCATCAATAGTTCTTTCCTTGTTGTGGTGATAATGGCTGATAAAACGGTTTGTATTTAGTGTGAGGATTTTGCAACTCATTAAATCAATGTGTATGTTCACATGTTGAGTCAGCAGTCAACGTTTGGCCGACTTCACACTTGAGCCACAATCCAAAGGTGGTCTGATCTTGTACCGTTGGTTGAAATCTGATTCTTTCTTTTTATTTCCCTTACCATCTGTCACAGTCTGCTTTCTTACTCACCTATTTTCTGCATTAACATTCCTTAGTCACCTGGTAGCCACACCCTGTCTCTCTCTCTCACTCTGTTACCCCCATCAGCTCCATTAGTATATAGACCCACTTCACTTTCACCTCAGTGCCAGATCGTACTTTGCAGCATGCCAGTCTTTCCCGCATTACCCTCCAGATTGCTCTCCCGGTTTTGACCCTGCCTGTCCCTGACCAGCCTGCCTCGCCTGTTTCCTGACCCTGCCTGTACCCGGACTATTCTGCCTTGCCTGCTCCCTGACTCGGTCTGTACCTGCGACTCCCGTCTTGCTTTTCTCCTGGAACCCTCGCCTGTCCCCGACCAGCCCTTGCCTACTGTCTACCGTTTCGTCTCCTACCAGCTTATTGCCTTTAATAAAGCTGTTACCGACTATCCCTGGTTTCCCGTGTGTTGCATTTTGGTTCTCAGCTCGTTTGTGACACCATCTAAATAAGGCCACTTCAAAATATGATACGATAGAGGGTTCGAGTTCCTATGTGGTTGAAAAGTCCAGCGTCATTCATTCCATCATTAGAATGAGGCGGAATCATGTCACTAGCTAACTTGAACAGAATACAAAAACGTTTAAATAGTTTGAGTTGATAGAAAGATTGTGCTGCAAATATTTAGCAGAAAGTGGGAATTTATTCCTAACTTCCCAATCCCTGCTTGACCAACTCCAAGGTGGGATTTGGTCACAGCTCATTAAACATCTAAACCCAACTAACCCCAGCATTCAACCTATCACAATCAATTTAGCCGCCATTTCTTTATGTGACCACCTAGCTGCTGTGCAGTTTTAAAAGGTGAGCATTTTTTCAGATACATAAAACATGTTGAGTCTGCAGCCAACCTTCTGCCGCCTACACACTTGAGCAACAATGCCTTGCCTTTAATTTCACATAGCAGCTGAAAAACAACACTTCAGAATATGAATCTTTTTTTTTTTGTGACTGTATGGACTTATGGAAAAAGCGTCTTTGAATCAGAAGATTGAGGGTTCGAGTCCCTACGTGGTTGAGAGGTCCAGCATCATTAGAATAAAAAAAGCAGAATTCTGTCTCCTGCCAACTCGAGCAGAATACAAACATTTGAAACGTTAGAGTGGATTCTGCTAACTTTCCGTTGTGAAGTCGGCAATCTACCCTTCAAGCTATCCCTGCTTCACCAACCCCAAGCCGGGATTTGGTCCCACCTTATTAATACTGTGAACATATATAATTCTATTGTCTAAAAACAACAACATCTAAATACAGCAGAGGAGCACGGAGAGCACAGACCTCGGCCAAGGCCAACCCCAATATCACAACGTAAAAAGGATTTGTGTATCTGCCCGTGATTCTGATGGAGAAGAAAACTGGACAGGCAAGCACCCTCATTCCAAGATCAGGTTACCCCTCCCTCTGGACATTATGTGTTCTGTCTTCTCACAAGCGTTGTTTGGTGTTCCAAAATATACCGTCATATTTATGTGTACAACAGTGCATCTACACAGAGATATATACAGGTTTGGACATGTCACGCATGGATAAGTAAAAGGTAAGACATTTCCAAAACTCACCTATGATCTTGGCCCTGCCAATCTTCTCCATAAAGAGGGCAGAGATGATGTTGCCCGGCAACACAGCCAAACTTCCCAGGAAGCTGACCATGTAGATGAGCACGTCGTTCTCCTCCACGGTGTCCAGATGGCAGCCCTGTTTGTTGTGCTCGAAGGTGGTGTTCTCTATCCTACAGTCAATGAACTTCTCCTCCCACAGGTCTACAAAGAAACAACAGCATGACGAGGAAGATGAAGCTCATGAAAGATTCAGGGAAACTTATGGTGGGGACCTATCATGCAAAATGCACTTTTGTACGTCTTTTATACATGAATATGTGTCCCCGGTGTTCCAGGGAACTCACCAAGTGTCAGAAAACACAACCCTCTCTATTTTCCTCCATACCCCAAATCTCTAAAAAGGGGCTGGCTGCAACGGATCTGATAAAAACTGATCCAGATTTGAACACTGTCCTGACGTCAGGACGGTGGCGCTACGGCTATTGGGCCAACTCTCCACCTATCAGGGGAATGTGGGGTTGGGCCACGGCCGGCCATTGCCGCTCGAAAGCGCTGGAGACGCTGGTAGTACATATGCCAGGCCTGTAAGTGGCGCTGTAGTCTGCCACAAAAGCAGCGAAGAAGGACTTGGTACCATGGTTACCCTTCTGTTTATTCTCCGCTGTGGCTTTTTTTCTCCCTCCCCGAGGCAAGCGTTTGCTCCCGCTGCTTTAATTCAATGCAATCCCTCCCCGTCGAGGCAAGCACTGTAATTCTCTCCGGTTTAGTCCACCAGCAGATGACAAACACCCCACCTCTCCGCCTCTTCCAAGGAACGAGGGGGACCGTGCGGCTGAGTTTCAGTTTCAGTTTCTTTCGCCGGTCAAGATGGCCGTTAAAGTTGAAATCTTCCGGACAAAATTAGAAAAGTGCCGGTCAAAGGTCTTCTTTGTTATTTATTGAGCTTTAAAACAAATGAATAACGACTCTATATAATAATATAATAAAACACGGAGGACGGAGATCTCTTTTTCTCCCCCTCTTCTGACAGCCCAGGAGCTGATCAGAGCACGTCTCCCCTCTCCTGCAGGGGGGCGTGGTCAGCAGAATCAGACCCGTAGACAGCAAACAGCACATAGAGTGAAATGAGGCATGGCATCTGTTTGGTATTTCGAAAACAGAAACGTATAAATATACCTTATATAGGTATGGCCCTACAATATATCATTTAAATATAGCATGATAGGTTTCCTTTAATTAAAACTTTAATGAACTTTTTTACTTAGCCTTCACTGTTTTGGATATTTTGTACTCCATGCTCTCCTAACATCCAATATTTGCACATTTTATTATTGTTTTAAAGGGAGCAGTCATGTATTCATGAATGATCTTGTTATTGAGTTGTATGCTTATATCATTGTTTGTAAATTGTTTGTCTAGTTTTGTGTAACTCAAAGATCTATAGGGACAACAATGAAAATGTCATTTCACTACTATCTGTATCCGTGTCCTACACAAATATATTCAGATCTGTACTTGGATTATTTTGGGAGTGGAACAAACAAATTAACTGTGTAGTGTACTATCATGTTTGCATAGATTTTGTTAGAAAATATCACTCGTCACCGGCCTTGATCTTCAATATCAGGATACATGTATTTATTATCCTCGCAAGAATGGAAGTAGTCATCACACACAGAGGTTGCATGGGACAAATAGTTCTCCGAACAGTGTCCTTGGCATGCCTTATACAAGAGAGTGTTACAGTCACAAGATGAGAGAATACTGGTTCAAAGCAGTATTCTGGCCTTAGTTCAGATTAGCTAAAGCTTGCGTAAGCAATTAACATGACAGTCATATGCCTATCTCTCTACAGTCATATGCCTATCTCTCTACAGTCATATGCCTATCTCTCTACAGTCATGTGCCTATCTCTCTACAGTCATATGCCTATCTCTCTACAGTCATGTGCCTATCTCTCTAGAGTCATGTGCCTATCTCTCTACAGTCATGTGCCTATCTCTCTACAGTCATGTGCCTATCTCTCTACAGTCATATGCCTATCTCTCTAGGGGCTGTGTCATCATGTTAATCGTAGGAACATAGCTGTCGTATGTAAAACACAGTGTCTCATGAGCGTCATCCATGTAATCATACATCTGGTTACGTACACAGTTACAGTTAGGTCTCGGTTATCATGTGCTACTCTGATATAGAAAGAGTACATTAGTATGTAGTATTTTCCCAATATATTGTTTACAGCTTGGCTCCCATCTAGCCTATATGAATTGAAAAAAATAGAAAGCAACATTTTCTCCACCTTCAAAACAAAGGAGGAAGGATAAACTAAGGCCAAATATCTATATAGAAAAAAAAATATATATATATATATATATATATATAGCTGTTGGGGTCTGGATTAAATTAAATAGAGGAAATAGAATAGAATATTAAAGGCAAAAAAAGAGGAAAGACTGAAATTAGTGGGCAATATTGTACAATGGGTCAGAACCAGGTAAAACTAATTTCAACATACAGTTACTCAACATATACTGTATTTCGCTGTCTAACCACTCTTAATTTCTAAAGTATAATGACGTTATGGTATCTAATCAGGGTTGGATTGTAACGGAATACATGTAACGGCGTTACGTAATCAGAATACAAAATCAAGTGACTGTATTCAGCTCGCGTTACATTTGAAAACGAGTAATCTGATTACAGTTACTTTCGTAAACCTGAAGTGAATACATTTTGGATTACTTATTGGAATTATTGGTGGAAAGATTTCCTCACAACATTTAATATCATTACTAAAGGTACAGCCGAATCATCACAGCGCACAAAACCTATTACCGCCGCAGATGGACCAAAAAAAGGGAGCGTTTGAAAAAAATGTGCGGGTCTGCTCAGTGAAACAATAACAACGAAACATGGAGGAACAAAAGTCTGCGTTTAAATCGTGGCGATATCGACACCACTTCGAATTAAACAAGATCATGGGAAGAATATCACAGTCCAGACCTTGTGTCTTCCAACCATCAATACACTGTCTGCATCAAAGGACTCCACGTCTAATCTTAAAAAGCACTTGGAGGTAAGTCAACGTTTGCTTTTTTTTTGCTCTCTTTATTGTTGAAATGATATGAAGTCCGTTATCCCGACTTCGACAAAGTTACCTTACTGTTTTACAAAAGGGAAATAAACACAACGAAACACACACACACACACACACACACACACACACACACCACACACACACACACACACATCATGCGCCTTGGTGACCGGAGATCTCCTTTATAAAACTAATACCCACTTTTGGGTCGCGACCCACCAGTTGAGAACCACTGCACTAGAGGACTTCCCCACCGTTAAGCAGGTCTTCATTAAATACAATACCACTTTGCCCTCAAGTGCTGCTGTGGAGCGTCTCTTCAGCCATGGTGGCAACCTGTTCACTCCCCAACGCAATCGCATGACCGATGAACACTTTGAGCAGGTGCTCCTGTTACGCTACAACAACACACTCTCACTCCATAAACGTCCAGGAGCGACGCTTGGTCAGGGTCCTGAGGCGTGCAGTTGGGACGCTCCTAGGCTCCTTCAGCTTCATAAACAGACGCAAATAGCTTTCAACTGATTGCAATGTATTCCCATCTGCGGCGGGATCTGACGCTCAGGGAAGCACGGCATTCGTTTGTGTCGGAGGCTGTTAAAGGCAATGTGAGCGTCCATTCGCATTGGATAACGGATAATTGTACACCCGGAAGTAAGTATTCCCCTACTGTCGATTGATTTGACAGTGATATCTCCACTAACTCAAAAACACCAGATTATCCTTGTTAATTAAACGACATTGATAGGTTTTAGTGTGTGTACAATGCTTTTGTCACGTTTTCCCCTTCAATTCTGAGAAACAAGTAGTTTCTATGAGTTTTGGATGGCCGAAGACATTACATTACCCACAATCCTCTGTAGCAACCATAGACTGTATACAAAAATTAAATAATACATTATTCCGAGTGTGCTTGCTTTTCTCTTTGAAAGTCATCACATAACAGCATTGTAATACACGTTTCGGCTGCATTAAATATTACATATCTGCCTTAGTTAACTCTATTTATAGAGCCCTGATGACAAGACTTCTAGATAAACAGGAACTGCCGCCAAAACTGAAAACTTGACGTGGATCTTAAATATATAAGCAATTAAACAACATCTTACATTTCTTTTCACACAATACGTCTACTTGCAGTATCAACACTAATTCGGCTGACTTTTATATTTGATCCAATTGGTAGATAGGCTGTATTTACGCCATAACGGTGCACAGCTGAAAGAAAGGGACATCTAGTGGTTAAAGCACGTTTATTGCATTTTATAATTTTATTATTAGATATTAAAAACAGACAAACTAATAAGGCTTTATTTAAAATTAAAGAATACTTTAGGTTAAGGTCTTCTTTTGAATAAGAAAAAAGCTTTGGGGGTATAGAAGATGAATATGGAGGGATGAAACCCTCTTTTGATGGTCACACATGCAGAGCACACAGCACACACAGTGAAATTTGTATCTACAGATAAATATTAAGCCTGACAAAGTACTTAACGTCTAATATATTGCTTTCCTGCAATGTTAACTATGTTTAAGCACTTATTTTAACTGATATTATACATATGTATTATACTCTTATAAGATGTATGTAGATAGTATAAGAAATGTGCAGAATATGACAATGTAATGGTGGAGGTACACACATATTGATAGATGTCTTATAATGCACTGTTGAGGAACCTGCGATCCAAGTTTTTCATTCATTGCATAACTACACCGTAGTTGTGTATAATATGATATGTCAATGAACCTTAGAAAATCTTGAAATCTTGAAAGGGATGTGCAAAATAGTCATTATATATACAGTCTTTAATTAACTATTAGTAGAGAATAACGAACGAGTAAAGAATATATTTTATAGGGATCCTATTAATATCTAATAATAAAATAATAAAATGCAAATAACGTGCTTTAACCAGTAGGTGTCCCTTTCTATCAGCTGTGCACCGTTATGGCGTAAATACAGCCTATTCTACCAATTGGATCAAATATAAAAGTCAGCCGGAATTAGTGTTGATACTGCAAGGAGGGAAAGTTGATTACATATTTTCAGACCTGGATATATTTGCTTTGACAGAACCGTAATTATAGCTGACATGTTGAAACTGGAGAAGACATTTTTGCTTAGGAAGGTTCGTAACAGAGTGAAGTGAAGTGATCTGGAAGTTCTTTAAGAGCAGCCATGAAAAGAGCTGTTCAGAGTCTCTAGATCATGGATGGGAAATGGCGGCCCCCACCTCCTCTTTTTGCGGCCCTCAGATTAATTTATAAACAACGTAATTAATTTAAAAAAAAATAAATATAATAATAAAATGTTTTCCTCTAGACTCCTAGTTACGTCGCGAGCTGCGTACATGATTTTCGTTCGGCAGCCAAATACCGCAAATAAATCTGTGAGCTTTTGTGTGTAAAACACTCACAAGAACACCGGCTGTTGTTATGCCTGCTGTGATCATGTTAAGTTACCGCTTGTAATTATGCCTTTACAAGCTTCAAAGTTGTATTATCATCTGAATTTGGCGAAACAAGTTTAATATTCTAAAACAAGACTTGGTTTATTTGAAATCAGATGAAAACAAACTGTCACAGACCCTGCCGTGTTATCTATGATAACTATACGCTTTTCATTCATAATTCAGCGGGAGGGGGACGCGGGCGCTGAGGAACAGCAGAGTGCGGGTGACAGGTGTCTGTGTTGACATTCCCCTTATTGTGCGTCAGCAGAGACTGAGGCTACAAGGTCTTAGGTTCAAGTTAGACAACTAATGTCTGGGTTAGTGTTCATGACTTCATGTTTCTGTCATCTTAATGGTTAATCTCAATGCACACACATTTCCCCGTGCTTTCCAATAGTTTAAAATAATTGTATTCCACTGTTAAATAAACCTGTTCAATACAAACATGCCACTTAAATAACTTTTCTGTGAACTGATATTTGTTTAGTGAGCTTATTAGAGGATGTCCGTTGAAAGATTGCACAAAAGTCAATGAAGATGTCAGACTTAGTCATTTGTTAATAATTACATACCAATACATGGAATTGTGTGTGTGTTCAAGTGAATGTGTGTGTGTTCCAAGTGAATCTGTGGCCCCCTGGTGACCAGTACATAAATTATGTGGCCCCCACCACCATCAAAGTTGCCCATCCCTGCTCTATGATGGAAAGGAGCTTCAATATTTCCTTTATAACCTCCTTTACCTGAGGATACACTGGACCATCCTTTACAAAGGGGAGGAGAAAATGTTGTCCCACAATTCATTGCAAACAATTGTGACGGAGAAACGGGCTTAATGTAAATTACGGTGCTTATTACACATTTGAAAACTAATGCAATAACTTGCCAAATTGTTTAACCCCATGGCGTGAGTCACAGAAGTTAAGCAATGGTGGTTAAAGACGGCCTGATGTGTGACAACTCGACCACAACCCTGGTCGGCGACAGAGTCGGTGATATACAAGATTTTATTGTCAGCTTAAAAATTGACATAAAAAAGATTCATAGTAAATCTCATTTATTTAGAGTAATTATCAGGGGACGCAATATAAATAATTGTGCGAGACCTTTATCAACCACAAAAAGACTTGAATTAATGAAACCATGGCCAAAACTCTCAAACTGTACCAGCTTCATTTCTTAAACTACCGTTCTTAAAGTGGACCTATCATGCTATATTTGAATAATATATTGTAGGGCCATACCTATATAAAACATGTCTGCAAAGTTTGTCATGTCGTTACTTTGTTGAGAATGTGGCCATGTAATAAGCGGGATAATGCTGCAGCGCTGGTCATTATGGGGAAAATTAACACCCGTCAGGCTGATCAAGATCCCTCTGCTACGCGTCGGGATCTTGATCAGCCTGACGAGGCTCCATTAAAATATAAATATTTTTAGTGAATTACTGAGTTTAGGCATGTTAATAACGTTTTAATGAAGTTGAATACAGTATATTCATATTTGTCAGTGCTTTCATGTCAATTCGGCGAACATAAACATAAATGATCGTGGTTGAAGATGATGATTAAATTAGGATTAAAAATCTAGAGCCGGGCTGCATTTCCTCTCGTTCGTTTTTGGAGCCGGCGGGCTTCCTGATGTTTTTTGTACAGTAGTTGTGGACTAAACAACATTATTTTGTTAAATAAAAACATGGTGATGTTTTGTAAATTATTACATGTCTCTTATTTAGCACAGAGTATGATCCTATCCGTGACATATGGATCTTAACAAAGATCCACTATACAGTCGTACCCAGACATAAATCTACCGTACTGTAATCAGACTTTATTTCACATGAGCTCCAGTGTGGAACCCCACTGCACCCCCTGGTGGATCAATGATCCATTGCAGCTGGCTTCATTATAATTACATTTATTTATCAAGGGGGCGGTCTCAAGTCACGCTGGAGGTTGTCCTTTGAGCGAGGGCAGAGCCCGTGCCGGCCACGGCCCTCGCGTTTCAAACTGTCCGAAATTAGGTGCTACATCTGTAGGCGGAGCTCCTCGTTCCTGACGTCAGATAATTTTCAAATCTGTATCAGTCTGTATCAGCTCCGTTGCAGCCCCGTTTTTAGAGATTTGGGTATGGAGGAAAAGAGAGAGGGTTGTGTTTTCTGACACTTGGTGAGTTCCCTGACACACCGGGGACACATATTCATGTATAAAAGACGTACAAAGTGCATTTTCCATGATAGTCCCCTTTAATACATGTATTATGGACTAGACCTACATTAGTGTTTAGGCAGCCTTTCATCTGTATACGTTTGGGATAACAAGTATTTAGATTTTGTAATGCAGTGATGACAATTTAAGATGTCAAATAGTGAACCATTGTGTGATTTTTAATATTGAGTGTGAGCACTGCAAATACTTGTTTAAAGTATCTGGTTTTGAGAGGTGCCTGAAAATGATGGAATGCAGCAGCGAGTAAAGATTTAGATGAACCATAACTCCTGCATCACTCTTGTTTTCTGTAATGGCCCCCCTCCTGTCCAGCTGAACCTACCTGTGTCAGAGAAGAGGGTGGAGCGGGAGATGGTGCAGTTCATCAAACACAGTGTCTGTGGACCTGATGTTCTTCAAAGCGACAGCCTTCAACAGTGAGCCCTCAAACTCACGACTTCATCTCTATTTTGATGAACCTATGGGGGTGGGGTGGGACACACACACAAGCCAACAGACAAAAAAAACATGGACTCACTTCTATTGCTGTGGCAGCTCAGAATTAGAAAGGTAAGAATGGGTTTGACTGGTTAATTCAACATGGCCGTCTCTGATATTACTGCCATGGAGTTCAAAGGGTGGAATGATCATCTCCATGGAAACATGATATAGTGTACTCCATTGGCAGCCTTGTTTATTATACCATCAATGCCGTATAATAAGTTAAAGCCCATTCTGTATTTTTCAATTCTGCAAAATGCATAGAAGTTATATAATATACAGTAGTACACCATACTGTATATCTGCACTGAACATGTCCTCGTGCAGAGGTGAAGTGTAACCCTAACCCTTAGGGTTCTCTCGCTCATTTTGTTACAAAACCACACAGCAACACCAAGTCCAGCTCATGGTTTTAAAATTAAACTGTGGGAAACTTGGATGATACTTTAGAGGTGGTGCAAAGTTTGTTTAAAAGCTAGACTCAGATTGAAAGGAATGAAGAGATACAAATAGGTGCACATCAATTCAAAGAATATTATAGTGGCAAAATAGAAAAGTACGAAAGGTATCTATTTGTTGTGGAATTAAAGATTACAAAAAGGTCAAACTGAATTAACTCTAAGCCTGAGTAGCGTTGATGGGTTCTCTCTAACCCTTTTTCAAAGGAAAACAGAACAGCAGACACTCAATATGACAAAATCAGGGGCTATATATTTACTGACTTGATAGTGTACCTGGCATATGCATGTATACACAGTGTATACCTTTTAATGTGCGAAGCCTTCATAAACCTGTCAGGATATTTACGGTGCCCTTCTGTCATTTCTGTTCTGAACATTAGCATATACAGTAAGAGATTATCTGTGCTCTTATTGCCAATGTTTTATGAGTTCCAGGGCATCACATACATCAAAACACAGCATGCTAAACAGTTTTCTGCTAACAACATAACTGAGAATGAAATGATTGATATTGTAGACCTCTTCATAATCTTGTTATGTTCACGGGGATGAGGTGTTGATGAACCTTTCTGGACAGTAAATTGAAAGTAGCTGCCTTTGGATAATGCTATTATGGTCTGAGGGTGATCTGATCCATCGGCCACCAATAATTACCGGCTCATTGTAGTTGGTCTCTACAAAGGCCTATCAGAAGAGCCGACGACATTCTGAATTCTAACGTTTTCAATACTCATTTGTACGATTCCTGGCCTGCTCTTCATTATGATATCTCAGTGCCCTTAGTCTGTATCATCTTCACACTCCTGACTACTTCCAAAGACTCATTACTCAGTTGTGCATACGTATTAAAGCTGAGCATGTCTTAGCACACATGTGTTCAAACTCAACCTCAAGACTCTACCTGCTGTGTGCGGACAATATCACTGCATAGCTTTGTGTTATGAAGATGATGCAGCGGTACATACGAGTCATTGATGTATTCCCCTTCTTTATGGATCTGGTTTTCTAAAGAAAAGTTGAAATGGAAGTTCTCCACTCGTTCTCTATGGAACACCTAAAGGAGGACAAAAAACATAAATACATTTATTTAAACCAAGCAATGCCCTTTCAAACCATGATGATATTTATTTATGAAGGTAGATATGGTGCAAAATGCGAGAGCTTGTAAAACCTGATGTGAGCACTTGCAGATGAATGTGTCGCTAAAGTAATTTTCACCAAGCTCGGGTCAGTCACAGCCATAGTCAGGTCGAACCGGATGACTGCGGGGCCCCGCAAACATGCCCCTTTCACACCAACGCGGTTCCAGGGCCGGTTCGGAGCTTGAGCCTGATAAGCAACGTTTTTTCCTGTTCACACCGCAGCGGAGCCGGCTCTTTCCCCCGAAAACCGGATCTTACCAAGCTCGAAAAAATTATCGGTCTAGAAGCAAGAACCGCATACGTCACGCTTACGTTGGAGGGGGGCAAGATTAACCTGAGCCGAGCTTGCGCCTCGTCATTCTGATAGCTCCGCCCCTTCGCTCCAACCCCCCCCCCCCCCCCCCACATCTACAGGTGAAAATTACTTTAGCGACACATTCATCGCAAGAAGTGTAGCAAAAGTCAAGGCCGCAGATTCGTCGATTTATACTGCCACAGAGCAGATTCGTGAAGTTGTAATGACTGATTTGAGAGGTTGTAATAACCAAGTTGCAGTTGTAATGGAAAATATATTTTAAAAATATATATTTCTCTGCAAGTGAACATTTCATCACTAAGTTGATTTTTTTCCTAGAAGCTACACAACTTTTTTTTCTTTCTGTGACTTCAAATTTGGTTCACAGATACGTGGATATTTTATACAAGTGTAAATGTATGCACACAAGCTCAGATTTCTTTTCTGCAAGTGCTCACATCAGGTTTTACACGCTCTCGCATTTTGCACCATATCTACCTTCATATTTATTAGTGTAGATTTATATCTTGCCGTCACAAAAGCAGGACAAACTGATCTGTGTTGTCATGAGTTCCAGGAGCTGTTGTTGACCTTACCTTGACCTTGGACTCGTACTCCTCATACTGAAGGTGTTTGATCATGTCAGGGAACCAAACAGACAGGCCATAGTAACTGTGACAAAATGCAGAATGCAAAACACTGAATCAATAACAGGAGCAAACAACAACCAGAACTAGAGAATGCAATTCCTGAAGAAATTGCTAGTGGGAATGCTTTATGCTGAAAAGCTGACGCTAAACTGCTATGCTGAAATGTAATGTGTAAGAAAGTGAAGAATTTAGATTGAAATGATACATGAACACTGGGGGCTTGAATGTTTGATGAGAGAAGTAAAGAAAGTAAAAAGGCTTGGAAAAGCAGCAGAATATTTGAAATGCAAACTTTTGAACTAACTTGATGGCGAATGATCTGTCGCCATGCCAACGGCATTTGATGACATCCCATAATACGCTTAGATGCGTTGATGGCTGCTCAAACTTCACATGTGTGCTAACAGTCCAGCCGTGAAGACATCTACGGGACAGTTTTGAGATTTCCTCAAATGCCGTTGCCATGGCGACAGACCACTCCCCATGAAACACGATGTCGCTGTAAGTCCAATCGTCCCCCAATCTTCACTTGTATATCACCGGTCCATGCCTCAACAGCTCTACGCCAAATCTGAGATCTCACCATATGCCGTTTCCCTCGCCATAAAACATGATGTCGCTATAACTCCTATGAAAATGTTCAAAAAGTGCTCAAACTTCACATGTGTGCTAACAGTCCAGCCATGAAGACATCTACGGGACATGCCGTTGCCATGGCAACACAATGCCCGCCATGAAACACGGTTTTCTCATAACTTCAGTGAAAATGCTCCAAATGGCCTAAAACTTCACAGGTTTGGTAATGATGCAGCCATCAACGCATCTAAGCGTATTATGGGATGTCATCAAATGTCGTTGGCATGGCGACAGATCATTCGCCATCAAGTTAGTTCAAAAGTTTGCATTTCAAATATTCTGCTGCTTTTCCAAGCCTTTTTACTTTCTTTACTTCTCTCATCACACATTCAAGCCCCCAGTGTTCATGTATAATTTCAATCTAAATTCTTCACTTTCTTCTTACACATTACATTTCAGCATAGCAGTTTAGCATCAGATTTTCAGCATAAAGCATTCCCACTAGCAATTTCTTCAGGAATTGCATTCTCTAGTTATAAGACTGATAATCCTCTGCTTAATAAATGTTTTTGAGTTATTATATTAATGATTATTTAAAGATGTAATTATAACTTTTCATAGCCTTACTCTTCGAGTTATTCTACCATGTAAGTGTGACTCGTTTTAAATCTGTTAAATCTGTTTCTTATAAACTGGATGATGATGTAATGCATGACATGGTTAACTCACCTGAAAGCCATACAGAACCAGATGATGGCCATCAAGAGAGTAGCAAACCTCAGCTCTGCAGACAGGAGTGATGCTACGTTCTTCAACACCTGGGACAAACATCCACACACAGCCGTGAACAACGCTACATCACAGTAAGCACACTGCGAAATGATCATCACAATATAATATCAGAGAGCGTTTCTGTTTTAGAGATAGTAGGGGGAAATCCATTTGTATTGGTTTCAGGATAACAATGGCCTAAAGCTATTTGAAGTTGTGTTGCATTTTGACCGTTAGAAGTTGCAGACTTACAATACTTAATTAAAATATAAAATGTACCAATAGCATTTTAGACAAATTCTAAGGCGGTGTTTACACGAGAACAAAACGGGTTGTATCTGCTACTTTTCTCTCGCGTATAGCCCGTTCGTTCACACGAGGCCGTAACGGAACCGCGGAAACGGAAACGCAAACGATAACGGGTCCCAAGGTGGATAGATCTTCAAACGGAACGCTCTGGGGGGCCAAATGGCTCAGTGTGTACGCCCTATACGATCATTTCCTGATAACAATGAAGCCATAGCCCCGCCTCTCCCCACCTCTGCTGCTCACAGCTGTAGCATGGTCAGTAGCTACTGATAGTGCTACTGCTATTGACCATGCTACAGATGTTAGTACAACATCTACAGCTCGACCATGCTACAGATGTTAGTGCAAAATCTACAGCTCCTCTACCACAACCATCAGCAACAAGTGCACATGGAGAATTACATGAACTACATGTAGCTAAATCCACTGCGGGTCATAAACAGAAGGGCAACCATGGCAACCATGCTCGGGGGTCTTCTTCGCTCCTTTTGGTGTATTTTGTGGCAGAAGTCCAGCGCCACTTACAGGCCCGGCATATGTACTACAGCATTTCCAGTGGTCTCGTGTGAACGGACACGTTAAATGAGCCGAATGCGTGTGAACGGAAGACTTTTTTTAAAACGAATTTGGTCCGTTTGCGCTCCCGTGTAAATGGGGTCTAATAGGAAGGAGGCTATCATAGCTTATCTACTGTGGTCAACAGTCTAGAGAGTGTACATGCTTAGCTAATGTGCTAACCTTTATTGAATACTATGTGAAAAAATAACAGGAGTCAATAGTCAACGATCACAGCTGTCAAGCTACAGCTAGTGGAGGACTGTATGTACTCTGCACATACTTAACCTAACGCTGTGCCAACATGTTTCAGATCTTATCTCTACACTATTGTGTGTGCAGTACTTACCAGTTTACAGAGTGTGAGTGAGCGTACAGCCCATCGCTGTAAAGCTGTTCCTGTAGCGCTCTGAATCTCAATAAACTCATCCTCTGCTGTCTTAGGTGCCTTGATATGAGTCACCTGAAAATATATAAAGGAAGGAGAGTTAAAAAGAACATATTTGTCTAAGAGGCTTCTCCTAAATATAACAGAAATTCATACACATGAGGTTTTGTGGAATGATTCACTCTTTAACCCTTGTGGTGTTCATATTTTTGTTACTCAGCCAGTGTTCGTGGGTCTGGTGGACCCGCTGCCTTTTTGGGCTTCAATTCAACACAACTCAAGCTCCCTTCATTAACCACGGGACTACAAACATCTTTAGGATGTGGAATGTTTGACTTGTTTACCCTTTATCAACCTCAACATTTTGGAAGAAACCATGTACCAGCACACTCATATTGTTATAGACTCATAGAAATGTCAGAAATGTTGATAGGCCTAATTGTAGAACAAGCTACTTGCAATCATTAGCTTACTGTCAGCTTGAATCCTACTTAATGCCCTTTTACGGGTGCACACTATTGGACACTATTGGATTGACCACCTCTCAATTAACCTCAATTTGAAAAAATTATGTGGATAATGACTGGATATGACCAGATACAGTGCCTATACTGTGTCTGTGGGTAGCAGCAGTGTAACACTATTATCTGTACCTGTTTATATGCATGTTTGCATACAACCACCTCTCTTTTAGAGCCTTTAGTGGGCTCATTCTAAAGCAAGAATACATTTTTGACCTGGGATGATATGAAACTAGAAAACATGAGGAATATAATGCTGCAAAATGTCCTGCTATTTTTGATCACCGCCTGTCTTTCTTACAGTGCAGACACTTTTCCGCTTGCTCTTGCCTCTGCTTACTTTTTATGCTGATTTTCCTATTCTTATTCTCTGAAAACTTCGAGCAGCGGCTCCTGGACATTAACTTATCACTGGGACAGTTATTCTTCGTAAATAGACGGAGGGTTTCAGCCATATTTCAACATTTTTACGACGACCTCAGTCCTACAGTAGCGTGGCCTAGCAACAGCTAAATCCTGGTAGGCTACTGCATGCTATTTAGCTTAAGCTAGTTGGTAGCAAAATGCCTCCGTTCTCTACAGATGACTTCCACAAACTTCTACAGAAGATGGCTGTGTTAGAAATGAAAATGCAACGGTTGGAAGTTAACGTGAAAGTGAATGGACTATGTTGTGGGAATAACACCACTTTACCAGTGTTGCAAAATAATGGAAAAGGGTATGCTAACTCACAGCTAGTTAGCAGCTACAAGGTTTCCAAGGAACAGGAGGGCTGTGTACTGGGTAATAAATCTACAAGTGGTAGTCCTCCCTGGAACTCTCTGGGTGCAAGGCCTAAGAGTAAATCATTTCCATGGGATTTGGGAGGACGAATAACAGGCAGAGCCCAGCGCTCTGAAATCTGTGATGCGACCGGCTGGCCTGCATTGTTATCACCCGGGAAGAGTGCCTCTTCAACCCCTATTCATACTAGGAAACAGCCGTGGACAGCTGCTAAAGGGAGAACTACAAACAATCCTCCTAAACCACCAAGTGTGCCAATCCAGAACAGATACTCTCCGCTGACCGAGAACCGGAGATCTCTTTCTGATGACCTGGATAACCTGTCCTCTTCACACAGCAGGGTAAGGACCAATAGCTACTCCAAAAGTAAAAGGCTAGAGGGAAAGCTAACGACTGGGCCTGAAACTCTGATTGTGGGTGACTCTGCTGTAAGAGATGTAAAAGGTCTGTGTAGTAAGAACAACACCAAAGTACTCTGTTTTCCCAAGGATATGGTCTCCGACTTGGCTGAGAAGATCCTGCATATTGGGGCTGAACATCCGACTGTGAAGAATGTGGTACTACATATTGGAACAAATGATGTTGTGAAACAACAGTCAGAAGCGCTGAAAGAAGACTTTAAATGTCTGTTGGAAACTGTCAGCTCTCTAAATGCGGAGGTGTTCATCAGTGGCCCTCTACCGCCAGTCAGAAGAGGAGTGGAGAGATTCAGCAGACTGTTTGCACTGCACACGTGGCTTTCAGCTGCCTGTACTGGCCATTCTGTCCATTTTATTGACAATTTTAACTTTTTCTGGGATCGCAGACATCTTTTTAAGGCAGATGGAATTTGCCTGAACAAGTCAGGAGTGAAATTGTTTATCTCTAACATGTTCAACTGCCTGCGTCATCAATCTGTTCCCTCTGCCAAGGACAAGCGGCAAGAGGAATCAAAACAGGAGAAAGACACAACACATTGCGCAGAAAACCCTGAAGAAGTATCACTGCACCCGCCTGAGGAATGTTCTGATTATGGGAGACCTATGACACAAATGGAGGAGTCTCCACTGCCCGTCACCCCCCCTGTCAACGCCTTTGAGGATACTCTTCATTCATCCCCCCGCCCCTCAACGACGCCCACCAAAATCACCGAAGACAAGACGCGCACCATCTCCCCCGTCTTCATCACCATGCCTACCACAATCATCCAAACCAAAACAATACAAGGAAGATGGAAGCAGATTTCCAAATCCCCCCTTCCTACAGTGTAGCCCTCACCCTGCCCTCCTATGATGAGAGGAGCAGGGTGGTGGGTCCTCCCTCCCCTTCAAAGCCTGATAGGGATGTGTGTGTACAAAACGCTGCAAACTGATATTTGCTGGGTCCAGGCTCAAGGGCGTATGGCACTCTCAACTTTTCCAAGGACATGCCGGGGCCCTTCCTGCCAGTAGCTTTGCCGATATCTGTGTTGATAGGTAATAGATTAAGAGCAGTGAATCATCTTAGATACAGGAAGCGCTCAAATGTTTTTGTGAGTTTATCAAATTTAGCAGTGATTCCATGTCAGCCACAGCTTGTTACAAAAAACCTGACTGATAGTGTGTTTAACGAACTTAAACTAGCTTTATTAAATGTCAGGTCTTTGGCAGGAAAACATTTTTAATCAATGATTTTATCACTGAGCACAATCTGGATTTTATGTTCTTAACAGAAACTTGGATTGAACAAAATAACAGTGCAGCTGTTCTTATCGAATCAACCCCTCCCAACTTTAGTTTTATGAGTCAGGAAAGAATGCATAAGAAAGGAGGTGGAGTTGCTGTTGCTCTGTTCAATGATTCCCTTCAATGCAGGAAGACATCTTATGGGAACTTTGCTTCTTTTGAATATGTGGCCCTTCAGCTGAAATGCTCCTCTCAAGCTCTGTTCCTAAATATCTATAGACCACCCAAATACTGTGCAAGCTTTTTTGATGATTTTACTGAGTTGCTGTCTATAGTGTGTATTGACTTTGACTGTCTAGTCATTGTTGGTGATTTTAACATCCATGTTGACAACCCCCAGGACAGAGGGGCTAAAGAACTGTTTTGTGTTCTTGATAACTATGGACTGACTCAGCATGTGACGGAGCCCACGCACAATAAGGGGCACACTCTGGACTTAATTATCTCAAAGGGTCTGAATATCTCTGAGGTTGTGGTGACTGATGTTGCACTCTCTGACCATTCCTGTGTTTTCTTTAAGAGCTCTATTTCTGTTCACAAAAATGTTAAAAAAGAGGTAACCACAAAGCGATATTTAACTGAAAATACTAGGGAAATGTTTACTCAGAATCTTTCTTCCACACTTGCCCCTGCTAACATCTCAGTAAATGAGCTAGTAGATCATTTTAATTCAAAAATAAAAAAATGTATAGATGCCATTGCTCCAACTAAGGTAAAGGAAGTGTCTGGCAAAAAAATATCTCCATGGAGAAAGGCCATGACCGTGAAAACAGAAAAAAGAGAGTGTCGAAAAGCTGAACGTAGGTGGCGAAAAACAAATCTCCAGGTTCACTTTGAAATCTATAAAGAGAGACTTGGCCTTTATAATTTCGAATTGAAAAATGCACGACAGTCTTTCTTCTCTGACATCATTGCCAAAAACAAAAACAACGCACGTGCCTTGTTTGCTACCGTCGACAGACTAACTAACCCCCCAGTGTCAGTAGCCTCTGAACTTCTATCCACCAGGGCCTGCAATGATTTTGCCTCCTTCTTCACTGACAAAATTCATAAAATCAGACAAGCAGTCAGTGCCTCTGTATCAGGTACAGCAAATGTTTTGTCCCTGTGTCCACCTAATATCAATTCAGACATCATGACACAATTCCATCAGATTAATGATAAAAACCTAGAGGACATTATTCAACTTCTGAAATCCTCCTCCTGCTGCCTTGATATTATTCCAACAGGATTTTTCAAAGATGTTTTTCCTTGCATGGCCTCAGATCTACTTCATATAGTAAACAAGTCTCTTTACTCAGGTATTTTTCCACAGGCCCTGAAAACTGCAGTCATTAAACCGCTCTTAAAAAAGAATAATCTAGATGCTTCAGTAATGAACAATTACAGGCCAATATCAAACCTGCCATTTCTAGGTAAAATCATGGAAAAAGTTGTTTTTCAACAGTTGAGTAACTTCTTGCATTTAAATAACTGTTTCGATGTGTTCCAGTCAGGCTTTCGTCCAAACCACAGCACTGAGACTGCTCTTGTAAAGATCTTCAATGACATCCACTTACCACAGCATTGAGACTGCTCTTGTAAAGATCTTCAATGACATCCACTTAAACACAGACAGTGGCAGAACTTCAGTGTTAGTATTATTAGATCTCAGTGCTGCGTTTGACACTGTTGACCACAACATATTACTAGACCGACTGGAAAACTGGGTGGGACTTTCGGATACAGTTCTAAATTGGTTTGAATCCTACTTAAAGGACAGAAACAACTTTGTTTCTATAGGTAAATACACATCTGAGTTGACAAATATGACATGTGGGGTACCTCAAGGCTCCATCTTGGGGCCTCTTCTCTTTAACGTCTACATGCTACCACTGGATCAGATAATGAAGAACAACAAAATAAGTTACCATAGCTATGCGGATGACACACACATTTACGTAACAATTTCACCAGGAGACTATGCTCCAATTCAAACACTGAGTAAGTGCATTGAACAAATCAATGACTGGATGTGTCAGAACTTTCTCCAATTAAACAAAGATAAAACTGAGGTAATGGTTTTTGGAGCCAAGGCAGAACGTATAAAAGTTAGCGCTGAGCTTCAGTCTGCAATGTTCAAAACAACAGATAAAGCCAGAAATCTAGGTGTAGTCATGGACTCTGACCTGAGTTTCAACAGTCACATTAAAACAGTTACTAAATCTGCCTACTATCACCTAAAGAACATATCTAGGATTAAAATACTAATGTCACAGCAGGATTTGGAAAAACTTGTCCATGCTTTTATCTTCAGTAGACTCGACTACTGCAATGGTGTCTTCACAGGTCTCACTAAAAAATCTATTAGAAAGCTTCACCTGATTCAGAACGCTGCTGCTCGAGTCCTCACTAACACTAAGAAAGTGGATCACATCACTCCTGTTCTGAAGTCTTTACACTGGCTTCCTGTGTGTCAAAGAATATATTTCAAAATACTGCTGCTGGTTTATAAAGCTTTGAATGGTTTAGGCCTAAAATACATTTCTGACCTACTGCTAAATTATGAACCATCCAGAACTCTCAGGTCTTCATTTTTTTTAAAGCACTTTGAATTGCCTTGTGTTGAAAGGTGCTATATAAATAAACTTGCCTTGCCTTGCCTTGCCTTGCTAGCTTATTCGGAGGGAGACTAAATAACGCTTTAAGCTAATGCTTTGGATAAACGCGTCAGCTAACTGTAATGTAAAGTAATGCCATCCAGTTTGAAAAATAATCATGCAGTGTTACTACGAGGTTGCAGATGTGAAGGGAGGGGTTAGAGTGCAGTTGTCGAGAGTGAGGTTGAAGTTCTGGGATGTGGGGCCAAAGATGATGATGTCTGATTTGTCGCTGTTCAGTTGAAGGTAGTTTGTTTGCATCCAGGATTTGATTTGATGAGACGGTTGGTGAGTCTGGAGCAGTGGCGAGCCGTCAGGGCCCTCTAGGCCCTCTGTGAGGGCCTAAGATATTCTAAAAAATAATATTTAAAAACATTTAAAAAATATATATTTTTTTTAAATATATATTTTTTTAATATTATTTTTGTTATATTTTTCATTAGTTTTACCGAAAAAAAACTTGATTTAATTGTATTTAAAATAACATTTCCAAAGAAATAAATCCTTCGAATCTGCCTGTTCAGTCTCTGTTGAATGTGAAGGGTTACATGAAAGAAGCTCGTCTGGCCCTCTCTGCGATTCACAGAGGGCCCGCTATAGTAACTGAACGAGAGAGTAATGTCAAATGACAGTACAATTGACCAATCATATCTTCCCTCTAAATGGGTGGGTTTTATTATCGCGGACTTTATGACAAGTTCCGCCCGCTGTGAAACTTTTCTTGTTTCCATAGCAACAACAACTTCCTGTCAACAGCGTGAACTCGCCTTCAAAATAAAAGCATGCCAAATTACACTTAAGACATACAACTGCAACGAAAGTAACAAACACAATGCAATATCATTTTCAATGTCAAAGAACACAAATTGGGTTTACAGGTGTTGTTTTGTGTGGTAGAGGGTCGCTGTCATTGATGCGTTTTGCACCCTGGGCCGTTGTTTTGATATTCCGCTGAAGTATACGCTGTGACGTAATAACTCTTTTTTTTTGAGGGAATTGGTGGGGGTCAGAGGGCCTAGGTATAAAGCTCACGGCTCGCCACTGGTCTGGAGTTGGGTTGTGGTGGTGATGTCTTTTTGGAGATGTGAAGTTGGATGTCATCAGCATAGCAGTGGAACTGAAGGCTGTGTCGACGGATTATTTTTACCAAGGGGGAGCATGTAGAGGAGGAAAAGGAGGGGACCAAGCACCAAACCCTGGGGGACGCCTTGGGACAGAGCGGTGGTGGAGGAAGTGCAGATATTGATATGGATGAACTGTGGCCTGTACTACGAAGCAGGATTTGCGATTATCGAGGTAACTTCAGGGTTAACTCTGAGTTTTCAGTCCTACGACGCTGGTTCACTTCTTACCGGGATAGATCTCCATGGTAACTGATGCTGAACACCTAACCTGCTCCGGAGCTCAGTAAAAGCACCGCCTGCTGACCAATCAGAGCTCTGTTTGCAGAGTTTAAAGCTATCAAGTCATATTACAGGATAAAGGAAATACAGAAAAACTGCCGTTGCAGGAAAGACGGCCGGCAAAAATCACAGACTGTGTGAACGTGAAAATTAATAGAATATCACCTCCCATCTTCAGAGCAATCTGACTAATATAACATTAGCGTTAAGAAAGCTTACTTAAATATCTGCCCCAACATAAGTAACCGGATCAAAGTAACATTACGTACAGTCCGCGGCACTGTGAGTGCAGACGCTGACGTCTCCCATTATCATTCATATCACATCCTCTCACATCATATCACATCATAATATATATCATATATTTCCTTATCTGTGTCAGCTAATCGAGCCGTATCTGGCCGTGCAACATTTACATTGTCACATACTGTATGCAGAAGTATTATTCAAAACAACACATTAAGTTGACGAAACACTCGAGTCAAATTTAATTAAAGTCAGATCCACTCGTTTCTTAGACGGGGCAGTGATATCATAAAACTATTGTATGAATTCAAACACTTAATTCAGCTGTTCTGTATTCACCTTGCAGGTACAACTATGTTGCTTTTATCCTGGTTTATCTGTTTAAGTCATGGATGTTTAAAGTTTAACTTCTTCATATTTGTCTAACATGATAGTTTACTTTTCATTAATGAAGTATGACGCTGCACTGTCAGTACGCTTGTCCCTGTTTGTGATTGGTCAAATGTTGCTAACCCCGCCCCTTTCACGTGAACGCGCTCTCAGCCGGACAGAGAAACCCTGGGTTGAGTTACCGAGTTGATAACCAGCGTCGTAGGACCGCTTAGCGAGATCTCGTTTGTTAGGGTTAGTTAAGCCAGATAACTCAAACATATCCAGGGTCTGTTGAACTGGCTTCGTCGTACAGGCTACTGGTGTTTGTTGGTGATGTAGGATTTCAGCCAGGAGAGTGCATTCTCGGTAATTGTCAATTAAGCACGTTTTATTTCAGATTTATTGCCAGGACAAACAGAAAGAGTGCAGGGTCACATCGCAAATTAATCTTCTGGTTCCCTCCTTTGAGATGATGTATACCAGCTTGGTAACATATCAATAGGGAAGTATAACTGCAAAGATTTGGAATGCTAAACATTTGCTCATATCAAAATAATATATTAGCAGCTTGTTAAAGCATATTCAATGTGTACTCACAGTAAATACTTTTTCTGGCTGTCCCTTGGCCCTCCAGTTGGTGTCATGGACCTGCTTCAGGATCATCCAAGCCTCATCGTGCTTGGCTGTCTGCTCAACACAAACACGCACACACAGCAATGAGAACACACACTGAACCGAGGTTACTGCATGTATGCATTGCCACCGTGGTATAACCAAATATCAAGCAATGCATAATCAAGTATAAATGTGTAACACATTGTTTGTTTGACATCATAGGGGTGTTGCTGGTCCTGTGTTAGAGTAGAATGAAGATGTGTGCACTGCAGTCTCACCTCCAGCAGGAAGCGGGGGCTCTCAGGCATGAAGGTAAGACCGACCAGGGAGGAGATAGCAGGAAGAGCTGCAACCAGGACAAACACCCTCCAGCTGTGGAACTGGAACTCTGTGCCCATACTGAACCCCCAGCCTACACACACACACACACACACACACACACACACACACACACACACACACACACACACACACCCAGACACACACACACACACACACACACACACATAGACACACACACACACACACACACACACACACACACACACACACACACACACGCGCGCACACACACACACACACACACACACACATTAGTTGGGGAGCAGTGTAAGGTCACTGGAAACAATGCACTGATAACTTATAAAATCAGAATTCTAACAAAACATGATGACCATAATCTTCAGCATGTCCAACAAGAAGATTTTCCAGACTTTCCAAACTGGCAGTTTGTCATGAGGAGAACTCCATGTTTAAATGGCCACAAAAACCCCAAAAGGCCGCCCAGTGAGCAGCCATGGCAAAGTTCAAGTGGTTATAGCATACAAAAATTATGTATTGTTTGAGTTTAGAGAAATCATCCATTGTCTGTATTCCTTTTTCTTTCCTTTAGTTGTTGAAACGTAAAGTAAATAACTGCATAACTCAGACACTTTAAAGTCACTAGTCTTTGACTAAACTATTTCTCAACCTGTCTGCTTCCTGAGAACATTTTGCAAGAGATACTGAATGGTGTCCATTTTACATTGAGAAAACAACGGTGAACACCTCCTTCACTCTGTCTATGAAAGGACTCATTTTGGGGTCTAACCCAAGGATTAGGAAACTCTATACATGAAGCTGCAATGAGCTGCTTTCCTATCCAGCAGCATTAATATGCTGTATATTGAGCTGAATTAACTAAGCTCTTTTAGATCTTACCATATCTGGGGATGATTCCCCAGGCGGTGAAGGAAGCGTAGATGCCACCGATCATCCAGAACATACACAACCAGGACAGATGCTCGCCTCTCTTATCCATCTGGAGGAACTCTGAGAAGTACGAGTACACGATGGGCACTGTGCCACCAATACTGAGAGAACAGGAATAATGACAGAGAAAGAGTAATAATTACAACTAATACTTTAAGATGTATTAACTGACCACTGAACTATAAACAACATACAAATGTTTAATTGTAAAAGTATTTCCACTTATTCAAATGTTGCAATGACAGAACAGATCCTATTTCAAACATTACGAGAAGTGCCAAAAGTCATGTTGTAGCAAACAGAAACTCAGAGAGCAAAGTGCTTTAGTCGTCACATTCTGACTCTCTTTCGTCTTCAGGCACACTCCCACACCTTGAACCCTTCATTGTCATTCCCTAACTGTCCACCAGAGGCCCTCAGACTTCTCCCCCAGGTCTCCTTCAGCTGCTGGATCATGACCTGAATTGTGTCACCCAGAGCCTGCCTTCCTGTACCTGCCTGTAACATCCTGTATGTACATCTAATCTTTGCTTCTATAGGAGGAAATAAGAGATTTCTAGTGTGACATTTGCTTGAATAACATGCCAGAAACACTCACTGAAAAGCATTAATATGATTACATGTGGGTGCAGATGTGTGGTGGCACACACATGCAGGACACATGACATCTTCTGATAAGGCGAGCTGTTCTGCATCACATCCTCTGCTGAGCTCAGGATTTGACCTCATTTCTCAGCCCGAGTGTCCCTGTGGACTACAGTGAGTCTGAGTTAGAACACTCTGCTGTGTAACTGCAATAAAACCCTAACCACACTCTGCATATGCATGGTGTGGAGCTTGATTGATGATTTCTATATTAAAAAGCCTTTGAAAGACGTTGCAACAGGAAATGTTACACATCTGGGGCTCTGGTTGAGCAAAGAGGAACTCCAACACCAGAACATCCTTTAAGGTGAATGCTTTCTGCTCACAATATCTGTGGGGTTTCAACTGTGTGAAGGGGGATACAAATGTACTCTGCACCTCTTTATGAAAGGTTTGAGTTGAGGAGAAAAACCACATGTTTTTATGCTGATTATCACATTTTTAGGGATTACAAATATTGAACTTATTTGGGAAAAATTGATTTTCTGTTGCATTGGGGGATGTTAATACCTTGATGGATTTAAAACCCTGCCCACAGCCCTCTCTAAAGATCTAAACTCTGTTTTTTAGGGGACAGTGTTTCAACAACAGGCTTGAAAATACTATTCTTTCACAATGATTTTGTGATTTAGAATGATTACAAATGTTTATTTTCAAATTAAAACCTTACACAATACAGCCTGGTTGTTAAGTTAACAATAAGAATTAGCTTCTATAAACTTTACATATTAAGTATGTATTATTAAGACCATCTTAAGACTACGCTGGTCCTGCTTGGAGTGGAAACATAAAACGTTCACCTCAGTAAGAGAAGGAGTGTGTGTGTGTGTGTGTGTGTGTGTGTGTGTGTGTGTGTGTGTGTGTGTGTGTGTGTGTGTGTGTGTGTGTGTGTGTGTGTGTGTGTGTGTGTGTGTGTGTATTACCCAACACCAGACAGCACCCTGAAGAAGAGGAAGAAGCCATATCCCTGGACGAAGGCAGACAGGAAGGCAAAGACACAGTTTATAGCTAACGCCACGATCAGACAGCGCCGCCGGCCCACTTTGTCTGCCAGACCCCCCCACAGGAATGCTCCCACCATCATGCTCAGGAAGACGGTCAGACCTGCACAGAGAACAAGAAAAGTAGAATTGTATAAAGATATGACAAATCTGAAAAAACTGTAGCGTCAGCTGCATGATAACTTTTGTTGGTTAGATGGTAATTAGCTTAGCTAGCTTCTGTTGCCCCTTTAATCAGACAGAACTCTGTCTCCAGTTTGGCAACTTTATTCTTCCAGATGGAACATGTATTACATTTTAGCAGACAGCTGCCATAAGGAGACAGCTGTTCAATTCTCATTTCCAACCAGCAGTCCATGTGTTGTTTTTGAAAGCATGGCCATGGTTGCTCCCTAACCTCAACCATATTATATATACTGTAAACTATTATTGTATGTTAATGTCCCATTACATGACTTAGTTATTTTAGATGTTCGCTAACCTATCAAAGTACTGAGTTTGCCTTAAATTAGTTTTTTAATCTTAAACCTATCAAAGTTATTTTTGGGTCTGAATGGCCTGAATCCAACCAAATTAACCATAGCAGGAAGATTGAAAAATATATTTTTTTCCAAATTATTTTTAGGCTACGTTTCAGAGGGAACAGACAAATGATGTCCTGCTAGTGTTTAAACATGATTAACCTTTCCACCTGCTTAATAATAATAATAATAATGCATTTATTTCATGTGACAGTCTTTACTGAAAGCTTTGTGTTGCCTCATTTAGAAGCTTGAACTGAATAGGGACACATTGCTGACATTTATAACAGGGATTAATAAAGGTTTATCTAATCTTACTGCAAAGTAAACCCCCTCTAGGTACTAAAATAAACACCAGGGTTGTGGTCAAATCGTCCATTTTGGTTACGAAGGTTCCTAACAGAGTGAAGTGACTGGAAAGTTGTTTAGTGTCAGCCGTGAAATGAACTGTTAGGATTCTGGAGACGATAGGAAAGGAGCTTCAACGCTTCCCTTATAACTTCCTTTATCTTGGGATACACTGGACCTTCCTTACAAAAGAAAGGAGAACATGCTGTCCCAGAATACCTTGCATCCGCAATATTTACTGTGACACAACATTCAGGAAAAACAACCGATCGTGACTGAGAAATGCGTATCATGTGAGTTACTGTGCTAATTGAACATTTTCCATCTAATGCCATAACTTCCCAAAGTGTTTATATCTTTGAACATTAACAAGATTTTAAAGATAAAGGCAACCTATCAACGTTACGCTAATTACTGTCAAATGAATCAAGTCTATATTTCACTTTATTTTACTCAGTTTACTGATTTTTGTGGGGTTTCTTAAACTCTTTCAACTTGTTTGAATTGTGATATGTATAGGGATCGATGTGTACACCTAGCAAGTGATGTTTATATTGCAGAACGTTTTATTTAATTGAAATAAATAGATAAAACAAAAGTGTGATCGTGAGTGTGAGCAACCATTTGGTTTCACTTTCATTTTTTACTTCAATATACTTTTCAATTTTGTGAACGTTCATACAGTGCGCATCAAAAATCAAACAAAGAGCATTGGGCAACATATCTAGATGTGCTTTTTGTAGGCAACCCTATGGAAAACTGGTATTTTCCCATGGCAGACGCACATCAATAAGATCCACTCACGCATCATAATTACGTTGCCTAGTGTAAGTAGTGCAGTCGGATTCTCTTAGCACTGCTTTTGTCTTTTCATAAGTCCTGATACATTCTCCTTCACATCTTTCCTTAACCCCATGCAGTTTCTCTCATGCGGCTTTCACACCAGCACTTTTCCCTTTCTAGCTCCTAGCTAGAGCTTTTCTGGTTCAGCTCCGGTTTCCCTTTTCAGCTCCCGCTCTGTTCACACCGCCCAGCTGCCGCTGCTGCGTCATGACGTCACCGTTTACATCGCTGATTTTCTCCCCAACGGCGCTCACAACAACAACGGGGGGGGACTGCGTCGGGTCGATGATGGTGTTGTTTTTAATCATACGAAGCCAGATGAAATTAAATAACGACTTCTCCAACCTTATACTTTTCTCCAGAGTGCTGTGGTTCATTGTTTATTAATGTGTTTCAGCGGCATTTACCGACCGCTGCAGTGCTGGCTGCTCTTCCACGGGAGTTTATTCTCCCGTTAGCTCCGGGTTAGCTCACACGGCTCTAAAGTATTCACTGTCTGACTGTCACACAAGCAGCTGATACATATCCCCCATCCCCTTAAGTGAATGTGTGTCAGTCTGAATTGACGCTGTTTGGCATCACAACGCTGTTATGAAAGTTTCTCTGGTATAACATGGGTGATGTTAGCATAGCAACCGAAGCTAAACTGACTACTTGCTAAGCCGTTTTCTACAGGCACATTTTACCGGCGTATTTTTCATTATGATTCTACTTGTGATAGTCGGACATGACAACCTGTGCAGCCCATGTATTGATTCCATCCGATAGCTGCTATAATAACAAACAAAACGTCTGCCTGCTCTCCACAATGATCAATAACAGCGAAGGGATGGTCAAAGTAAGGTACAAATAAACAGAATCACACGAAGCCTGGTTAGTGTTGCCTGACTTTATAAAGTGTGTTTTTTTTTTATAAGTGTGTGGTTGCCTTCTAGTCACTTTGCTCAGCGCTACTGCTTGTAGGCAGGCATGACGAGACTCTTCAGTCGACCCATGTTCAGGGGAGGTGGGTTTAGTTTCCTGCACGACGTAAGAGAGACGTAAGCGACGGCGCCTCTTAGCTCCGGAGTCTTGCTTCTAGACCGACAGTTTTTTGGAGCTGGAAGTGAACCGGATTCCGGAGCTAAGAGGCGGCGCCGCTGCGGTGTGAATAGAAAAAAACTGTACTTTTCAGGCTCTAGCTCCGAGCCGGCGCTGAAAACGCGTTGGTGTGAAAGGGGCAATAGAGGTTAAGGGACAGTAGTCAGGAAAGACGATCTGATATTTTGTTAATTCAACCGCAACCCTGTAATTGCCATTTTTTCATCCTCTCATTTTCTTTCCAAAAGTCGGGTTAACTAACATACACAGAAGTCTTAGACTTAGACCATACCGCCTGTGTGATGTCAGCACTCTTTTTGCCTTAACATTTCAAGTCCTTGAGGAGCAGCTTGCTTCTGCTCCCGCCAAGAATATCCCCCCCACTGCTGCCAGAGACGGCGAGCATGTAACAATACACCTCAGTGTGCAGATGGCCATGCAGCAGGGAACACCTGACTCTGTGACTCATCATATTGGGTCGGAAATTATAAAACTCATTAACATAAACTTTATGAAACACATGAAAACCTTCGAAATGCACACCCTTGAAACCAGCCCTAGCAGGGACGGCTGTAACCAACAGGCTGATATCTACTTTTGAACTCGCCAGGGATTTTGGGCCCCATGAAAAGATAATCACATTGGTTACTTCAACATTTTTTTCTTAATGTTCTACAATTGTTTGGGCCCCTGTCAGTCACGGGCCCTTAGAATCGTCCTAACTTTTCACCCCCTTACGGCGCCGCTTCCCAGGAATATAGGGAGCGCTGAAACGCTGCACAGCTCTCTCCAAGGTCAGGATCGATCGCTCCGGCTGCATGCTGACTCACAAAGTGTTTTTGAAAACACAGCGCTGGATCAAACTGAGGGGGGTGGAGTAGAGGAGTGAGCAGGAGTGATTTTGTTTCTCTGCCCTTCTGCTGCTGAGTCTGGTGGTTGCAGGGGGGGGGGGGATGTAATGCTGATGATAGTCACAAAGAAGAAGAACTGCCCAGAGCACTTTCTTCTCTAATCTCCTCTCCACTTGTCTACTACTTTATATCTCTTAATATTTCCTCCCTACTTCTTACTATCTCTCTTCCTTGTTTATCCTGCTGTCTCCTCTTACCCGATTTCCTCTCTTGTACTCCCCCCTTCTTCTGCTCTGTTTTTTTCTCTCTCCTGTTCTCTGTTATCTTTGTCTTCTGTCTTTATATTAATGGGGGAAGTAAATGGGGGCAGTGTTTCACACCATCAGTTGACAATCTCTCACACAAACGTATGCAGTTTAATCCAAGTTCTATAAACACTGATGAGAGGCGTCACTGCGGCAGACTGAGACTGTTCAATGTGAACATGTTAAAAAGTTAAATAGTAAAGTTTTGGAAGCAATGCGTGGGTTTGGGAGAGACTGGAGTCGTGTAAGAGTCTGTACAATTTGTATTCATCCACAATGGAGGCCAAAGTTTTCTTTTAGTATGTAAGGGAACACATGGTGAGTGATGGAGATATAAACAGATCATTTTGTTGGACAATGTGTTTAATCTCTTCGCCCTTCCCTCTTTACTCCTCCCCCTCTTTGGATCTATGTTCTCCTATCAACTCCAAATATTTTTCCCTCACTTGCTCTACTCAAAAACCCCATAGACTGCAAACCTTGAGATGTGACTCTCTCACACCCTGCACATAACAGAGCCTTCAAACAGCTGAAGTTGGCAGTACACACAGATTTATAGCATCCTCACTGCCCATTAGCTAATTACTGCAGCAGTCATTTGAGGATTAACTGAGATTCAGGAAATCATTCACTCTCCCTTGACTGCCAGCGTGTGTGTGTGTGTGTGTGTGTGTGTGTGTGTGTGTGTGTGTGTGTGTGTGTGTGTGTGTACGTGCATAGAGCTCAGTTTATAACTCGAACAGGTATAAGAATGTAATTCATTATTACGTGAATAATGAATTACATTCATTATGTACGTAATACATGCTATCATAGCTGAAAATAAAAATGTCATTGAGCACCTCGAGGGCTCCCGAGGGGTGTGTGTGCTCTCCCCTATGTAGTATATAGTGCCGCGCACATATACTATCAGGACGTTACTGATGTGGTGCGGCCGCGGAGTGTGTATGCAAGCCCGCATCTAGTATGCATGTATGTGCCATGGCTGAAGACCTGTTAAGTAAATAAAGATGTCTCATGGAAAGTCTATGGATACCTTTATTACTCTCCATGACCTGCAGTCAACTATATAGCATAAAGGACTATTACACCCTAAAACAACAGATACAGGAAAAGTTTCTTCCTTCAGTAGACAGCAGTCACCTTTATAAATAA